CCACCATAGTTGTTCTGCCCCCAGCCCCACCCCTGGCACTGGACCGGGTATGTGTGTGCACTCCGCCTTCCCCGCTGCCATCAAGTCTGTGAGCCCCGCCGCGGGCAGGGACCCTGCCTTCCTCATTCTCAGCTCTAGGCCCTGGCACTGCCTTGGCCCCCGGGGGCGGCCATCCGACAGGGAGGATGTTTACGCGGGGCTGGAGCCACATCCAGAGGAGGAAGCCGGCGGACTTCTGGTATGTTGCTGCAGCTGGTGTTGTGAATCAGGCCGACGAGCAGCGCATCCTCTTACCCGGCTATTTCACGACACCAGGGTTGCATCATACTCATCCTCTCCAGGAGAGCCTCGTGGGACCGGGCGGCCATGGACATGGGGATGGGCTGAGGTGGGGCGGGGGTGGGGGGGAGGCGGGCAGTTGGTGTGTGAAAGAGTGTTCTCTTTGGTTCCCTGCGTCTCAGTCAGCCTGCCCCTCAGGATCACCTGGGAAGCCTTCCAAAAACACTGAGGCCAGCCCCTCACCCCCTCTCCTCTGCCCCAGGCCCCTGGGATCTCCAGGGTGGGGCCAGAGAGCCAGCATTCGTTAGGGGTTCCCGTGTGATGCAGTCAGGGGTGAGCCTGGGGCTCCTAGCCGGGCTGTTGTCTGTTCCTGCCTGGCTTTTGCCATAGCCCCTCCTGGCCCTCCCTGGCCCTGTTCTTTCTGTCTTGCATGGCTCACACCACAACTGCTGCTCCCCCGCAGCTTTCCAGAAATAGATGGCATCCGCTACTCCAGGACAAAGGCCAGGCTCCTTACCCTTGCCTTACCAGGTTTCCCTGCTCAGGAATGATGCTGCCGGTTCCCCCACACGGCCCCTTCTTCTGTCAAACGCCTGCCCAACGTGAATCCATGTGCTGGTTCTGTCAGCTCTGCCTTCACAATATACCTCGACTCCCGACACCCCTCACCACCCCGCCACCCACAGCTGCTCCCCCCGGCCTAGCCACCACCACAGGGCACCTGTCGTGGCCCCTGACTAGCCTTGCCTTGCCTTGCCTCCCTCAGTCCATCCTCCATACAACAGCCAAAGTGATCTTTGACAAATAGAAATCTGACCACCACATAGTGGAGTAAAACACTTCTGACCCTAGTTTCCAAGGCCCCATGTTCCCCCTTTCATGTCTCAAACCCCGTCTCCTTGGTCCCTCTGCTCCACCATACCGGCCTCCTTGCTATCTTGAAGCTCCAACTGCACTCTGATCCCAGGGCCTTTGCATATGCTCTCCCCTCAGTCTGGAAGCCCTGAACTTATACCTGCTCACATATTGTTGGAGCTTAGCTCAAATTCCTCATTTTCAGAGAGGCCTAAAGGCCCCTCCTTTTTTTTTTTAAAGCTTTGTTTTCTTTTTTTTTTTAAGATTTTTAATTTATTTTTTGACAGAGAGAGAGACACAGTGAGAGAGGGAACACAAACAGGGGGAGTGGGAGAGGGAGAAGCAGGCCTCCCATGGAGCAGGGAGCCCGATGCGGGGCTCGATGCGGGGCTCGATCCCAGGACTCCGGGATCATGGCCCTAGCCGAAGGCAGATGCTTAACGACTGAGCCACCCAGGCTCCCCTAAAGCTTTGTTTTCTTAATAGCACTTATCACTAAATGTATTATAAGGATTGTTTGTTTATTTACTGTCTGTCTTCCCACTAGAATGTGAGCTCCAGGAGGGCAGGGTCTTTGTCTTGTTCTCCATAGTGCCTCCCTTGCCTAGCACAGGGCATGGTATGCAGTAGGCACTCAATAAATGTGTGTGAATGAAGAAACACCTCCTATTTCCCCCCTTTCTTCCCTCCTCCCCTGATCCCCATGGCATTGTGTGCTCCAGGCCCTACCACACCTTGCCTTGCACTGACCCCATGCCCTAGAATCCCCTCCCTCTCCCAGGCAGCCCTCCCACCCCTCACCCCACCCCCAGCCAGTTGCCACGATCACCTTGCTGGCCTGTCTGCTAGGTGAGGCTGTGAATTCCAGTGCTGGTACACAGAAGGAGCCCAATAAATGCTTAAGTGGCTCTGTGCCCATGAAGACAGGAGGCTCTGAGATCCAGAGTTTGCAGCAGAACGCCCCCGCCCCCCGCCCCCTGTCCTGACTCCATTTCAGCCCTGTGTCTGGGGTTTTCACTTCTAGGGAGTTTCCTGACCACTGAGTCCTTAGTTCCTTTTCCTGCCTCTGTTCTCCTTCCCCTGAGAAGCGGGAGACTCAAGGAGCCCTAAGGCTCTCAGCTGGGGGCTGACACTGGCCAGGTGGGTCATACCCGACATCTGTGCAGCTGTCGATCCCATTCTGCGGCTGAGGCACATCCCAGGCAGGTGACTTGTTCGAAGTCACATGGAAACTGAAGCCTGAGATGTGAGCTTGAGACTCAATCTCAGGGTTTTGTTCGGGGTCCATTGGATTCTGAGTCCTGGCTCCCAGACCCGCAGGGCTCGGGGAGCCTTGTGGAAGCTGAAGTCCTGCAAGATGGGTATGGTGTCCAAGCCAGCACTCTGTCCCCCACCTGGAAGAGTGTCTCCGATTGGATGACATGCCATCCATGTGTAAGAATCCCCTTTCCTGGGGCTCTGTGCTTTGGGGCAAGGTATTCTGACTTCTCTTCAGCTCTACATTGCTAAGCCCTTCAAGCGGTCCTGTTTAACTCCCACCTCACCCCAGAGAGATGAAGGGGGCAGGAAAGGTTTCTTAAAGCAGCAAATGTTCTCCCTCTGGGGCTGGAAAGGAGCTGACCCGGGCCTGGGTTTCATGGAGGTAGGAAGAAGTGACTTGCCCAAGGTCACCCGGCAAATCTGTGGCCCCTCTCTCTGTCTGTGGCCTCAGTGCTGCTGGAAACCAGCCCCCGCCCCTTCTGGTGCCGTCCTCTCCTGAGATGTTAATCAGGAAATTTCCACAGTTGCTCCAGGGACAGGCTGTGTAGGATTGGTGGAAGGGGGTGTTGGGCCGCTGCGACTTTTACCAGTCAAGTGGCAGTTGAAAGGTGAGAGAATGATAAGATCTGCCCAGAGGCGCCATGCGAGGGAATGAGTAACCTGCCGGCCTCTCCCTGACCTGGCCCGAGTGGGCGCTGCAGCGAAGGTGGAAAACTGACCTGGAGTCCTCACCTCCTAGCCTTCGGCCCACTGGCCGGTGTGCGGGGTGTGGACACACTTCTCCAGAAGCCTCTCTGAGGGGGGGCTAGAGATCCTCGTAAGGAGGTAGGCAAGCCTGGGGCTCATTAAGAGGAGCCCAGAGAAGAGTCTTTTAAAAAATTAACTCATATGAAGAATTTATAAACTTTGCAAAAAGCTACACAGTGATCATAACCTTTTGGGTTTATCATTGAAGTCCTGTCATCCCTGGCTCCCCTCCATGTCTGGCTGAGCTGGTTGAAGGCCCAGGAGCTGCCCCTTGCAGCCCTGACTTGGGGTAATATTGTCAGCCAAGGGTTTCTATGGCAGCTGCTCTTTGCCCTCTTTGCTTCTGGCTCCCCTTCAATACTCATTCAACAAATGTTTATTGAGTACCTACTCTGTGCTGTTCCAGTTGCTTGGGATTATCAGTGAACAAGATAGGCCCGGATTCCAGCTCCCGTGGGCTTGCCTTCTAGCAAGTTGGACAAAATCTATGTCCCCCTTCCCAGATAAATGCACTTAGGTATAAAAACTTGTCCACGCTTGTGGGGGGCTCCACAAGCACCCTTATCTTGGAGCGTGACTCCCTAACACTGTTTGCTACTCCAACACAGTCCAAGCATTTCCACCTGCCCCCTTCTGCCTGGCCCTGCAGTTGGGCACACCTGTCCTGGGCCCCTCTGGACCGGAGCGAGAGGGGACAGGCAGGCCCCTCTGTAAGTTCTCAGTCAACTAGGACTGATGTGCTATTGGAGGTCATGGAGTCCAGAGAACTCCAGGCATCTCAGAGAGCCCAAGTCTGAGAGGCGGGGCAAGCAGGGAGAGAAAATGTGTCCCTCCATGTCCCTCCTGAGGATGGCTGGCAAGCTCAGAAGCCTGGAGCTAGCGATGGCCTCCATCCATCCCTGGCCTCCGGAGAAGCAACTCATCCTCCAAGACTCTTGGTCAGGGGTCTGTCCCATCCCTGCTGTCCCCACCCTGACCCTCCTCTAGGAGCGTCTCTCCCCTTGCTGCTCTCACTCCACAGCTGGGCTGGTCCGTTTCCATGTCCCTTTTCCCTACTCACTCGGCAGCACCATGAGCGCAAGCTCGCCTTCCCTCTGGTGGCACATCAGGCGTCCACCCCAGAATGGGCTGCAGTGAGTGTGCGGGCTGGGTACCCGGTTACCCTGCGGGCCACTGACCAGCCACAAGCCCCAGGGACTCGTCAGTCCACGGGGGGACGACAGAGCACACCTGGCACATGCTGAACTCTGGTTTGGGGGTGCTTGCTCGTAATGGTTTCTATACTCTGAGACGTCTTTGGAAGGACATGCACAACCAGGAGTCAGAGGTCTAAGTAAGAGAAAACTAACCTTTTATATATACGTGTGTATCTTTTCAAATGCCATACCATTCATCTAGCCACAAATACTAAGTACCTAAAAAATAAAACTAAATACCATGTACAAAAATGAGAGGTTTTTGAACCTGCCTGGGGTGGGGCCTCAGGTCATTAGGCTGTCTCCAGCGTCCCTCATAAGGCTCCCAAGTGTCCTTTCTGGCAAGTACTCCTTCCTCAGGTCCTGCAGATGTCCTCCGCTCTCGGACTCAGAAGAACCTCCCGGGGACCCAGGGCTGGGCGTGTTTCCCCGTTTCCCGCCCTGTGTCTGGCGCTGGCCCAGCCCAGCCCTCCTGGTGCCAGGCAGGGCTGCTATCTCAGCGATCAAATGGTGGGCAGGACAGCGGTGGGCACGTGCTCCGCCTCCCACCCTGTCCGGGGACCCTGCTCGCCAGCTAAGGGCGGTTTGGACCAAACTCTCTGCCTCCTCCCTGCTGTGGGCCCAGCCTATAAATCCCCCCAGCATGTCGCCACTGACCCTGGCCCCCTCCCCTGCCACCCAGAGCCGCAATGGCAGAGCTGCCGGCATCAGAGATGCCGGGGGACCCCGCGCTGTGCAGCGGGCGCTTCACCATCAGCACGCTGCTGGGGGGCGAGGAGCCCCCACCGCCCACTGCCTATGACAGCAGTCACCTGAGCCACGGCAGCACCTTCTACATGCGCACCTTCGGCTACAACACTGTCGACGTCGTGCCGGCCTATGAGCACTATGCCAACAGCGCCCTGCCCGGGGAGCCCCGAAAGGTCCGGCCCACGCTGGCCGATCTGCACTCCTTCCTCAAGGTAAGCACCAGCTCAAAGACTGACCACTTCCCTGCCGTGCGGCCTTGACCCAGGAACCTCATTTCTCTGAATCTTGGCCCTGTCACCTGTGCCACGGGGACACACGAGTGTCTTCTTCGTGGGTTGAGAGGCCTGAATGAAAGGCAGGCATGGAAGCTGTAAAGCTCCGGACACATGCAGTAATGTTTACCGTCCTGTCGTTGACCACCCAATCAAACAATCTTGGCCTCCCAGAGAGGTAATGAGCTCCCCGTCAGTGGAAGTACACAAACAGAGGCTGCACACACCTGAAAGAGATAGGGAGGTGGGAATGCGGAAGGTCTGCAGCGGAGGGGAGGCTCGCTGGGTTTGTTGCAGGGGAGGCTGGACTTGAAGGGTGGAAGACGGGGAACTGGATGGTCATGACGCCTGCCTGCGTGACCTGTGGCCTCTGGACTCCCAGCAGGAAGGCAGCCACCTGCATGCCCTGGCCTTTGACAGCCGGCCCAGCCATGAAATGACCGACGGGCTGGTGGAAGACGAGCCAGGCACCAACAGTGAGAAGAACCCTGGGGAGCCTGTGCGCTTTGGCTGGGTCAAGGGGGTGATGGTGAGTAGGGTGAGGATGGGATGTCCGGGAACGGAAATGGGGAGACAGAGCTCCATCCAGGTGCAGCTGACTTTCAGGTCTTAATGGGCAGGGTAGACCCAAGGCCCAGCCTGGGCCTCAGTTTCCCCATCTGCAGAGTGACTTCCAGTTTTCCTTGGTTTTGTGCTTCTCAACCCCCATTTGCTCCCCAGGTTGATACCTCACCCTGGGAAAGATCTTTGGATACTCACATGTCCTGTGGCAGTGAACAAGTTATTTAACCTGTCTGTGCCTCAGTTTCTTCATCTGTGAAAAGATGAGCATTATGAGTTAATAGACGTGAATGGCTTGGATCAATGCCTACCTTGGGATTATTAGAAGAAACTGTCCTCACCCACAGCCACCAGGGGGCAGCACTAAACACACAAATCCACGAGCCTGTTTTTGTCAGGGAGGTTTCCTGTAGTGTAGAGCACCAGTGAGTCTTCAAACAACAAAAAGAATCAAATGAACTTGGCTTTGGAAGGCATTGTGGGACTTTTCAGAGGGGATCGCATGAGATTTAGAAGAAGGCTTTGGTCCTGCTCTGGGAGGGTGGCGGGGGGAGCGGGCAGGTGCAGTGGAGGGAGGCCTGGGTTCTGACCTTACTCTGCCAAATGCCTGCTGGCTGTGCCTCTGTTTCTCCATCTGAACTGCGAGCTCCCCTCCACCCTAACAGCTCGTTTATGGAGTATGGATCTTCCTCCTGGGCTGTGGTGGCCAGAGCCTGGCATGGCCCCATTCGGTGTCTCAGAGCACACAGAGGGCCTTAGAAGTCTCCCCACCTTGTAAATACCACAAGCTCCTGCCCAACCCCAAGAACTTGGCTGGGGCCAAAGACCACATCAGCACCCACACCTCCCTGGAATTCAGTCTCAGCTGTAGCCTCTGGCTTTGCTGTAAATTTGGAAGCTGAAGTCACAGCAACCCGAGCGCTGTTTCTCCTTGCACGTTGGGCATTGGCTCAGCTGCTATTCGCTGAGCTCCTCCTAGATGCCAGGCCCTGGGCCGACAGCTGGCCACTGGGGCCATGGTTGGGGCTGGCAGACATAGGATCCTGGGCTTGGGGCCGGGTGACAGGTGATGATGCTTGCAGCCCATCCTCAGACCCCAGTGGAAGGGCAGAAAGGTGGGTGGGAGGGGCAGGTGAATCTCTGGGTACCCCTCCCCTCCCTGCCCCACAGAGCTAGAGGGGCATTTGAGTAGGAACCCAGTGAAGTGAGCAGAGCCAAGGAAGGAGCCAGGTGTCCCCTAGGCCGAAATGCCCGATGCCATGCCATGACTGGGGACAGGGACTTGTGTGTTTGGCTTTGGGGTATCAGCCCATCCGGATGGCCTCCAACCCCTCTCTCTTCCCAGATCCGTTGCATGCTCAATATCTGGGGTGTGATCCTCTACCTACGGCTCCCCTGGATTACAGGCCAGGCAGGCATTGGTGAGTGCCATCTCTGGGGGGAAGGAGGAGGGTGTGCCTGAGACCTGCTCCTCCCAGGCCTCAGTCCTGAACTTGGCCCGCAGAGACCACAGGCTTCTGCAGTGACAGAGGTCAGGGAAGTGTGGCAGAGGAGTCTGGACATGGAGTTATCCGGCCTGAGGACTCTCCCTGGCTCTCTGTGCCCTCAGTAGGTCACTTAACCTCTTGGAGTCAATCTCTACTGCACAGCGTCCAGGTTAAGAACCTGTGCTCTGGACAGACACCAAGGTTCAGAAGCTAGCTCTGATGCATGTGAACTTGGATAGGTTTCTTAACTTCTCTGAGCCTCGGTTTCCTCATCAGTAGAAAGGGGGTGATAGGCGCCTGGGTGGCTCAGTTGGTTGGGCGACTGCCTTCGGCTCAGGTCATGGTCCCAGGGTCCTGGGATCGAGTCCCGCATCGGGCTCCCTGCTCGGCGGGGAGTCTGCTTCTCCCTCTGACCCTCCTCCCTCCCATGCTCTCTGTCTCTCATTCTCTGTCTCAAATAAATAAATAAAATCTTTAAAAAAAAAAAAAAAAAAAAAAAAAAAAAAAAAAAAGAAAGGGGGTGATAGCTGTCCCTACCTCCCAGACCTATTGTGGGGTTTCTATGATGCATGTAAAACAGCATAGGATTTAGCACCCAAAGGTGTTCAAGTGATGATTATTTTTTATTACTAAAGGAGGGTGCCTTCCCTTCCATAACAAATGATCCTTTATATAGTGGCTCATCAACTCCCTGGCTATTCAGAATATACCAGGAGGGAGACAGAGACCCATTTTTCGGATGAGAAAATCAAGGCTCAGAGAAGGGAGGTGACTTAGGTGGTATGTTGAACCAGTCGGCTGACTCAGGTTCCTCACATGGCTCCTCACCTGGGAAATGCCCCCGCTGAGTTTTATGGTGATCACATCCCCACCCACCCCCACAGTCCTGACCTGGATCATCATCCTGCTCTCCGTCACTGTGACCTCCATCACCGGCCTCTCCATCTCGGCCATCTCCACCAACGGCAAGGTCAAGTCAGGTGGGCCCCACCCCACACCCAAGGCCCTCCCCTTTCCTGTTGCTCCCCCAGTCTTTACCCTGGGAATGGGTCTCTGAGCCACTCCCCACCTACCCCATCCCCACCAAAATGGGGATGCCCCAGGCTGCTCCCTCTGGTTCCAGGTGAAGGCTTTGGGTCCCCCACGGATGGCCTCAGTTTTACCCTGTGCTGTGGGCCCAGGGGAGGGGAGGGTCCCATGGTTACCCTCTCCCAGCCTCAGATTCTGCCTGCCCCAAGCCCACCCCAGCCAGCTGGTTTCATGGCTCCTGGCTCTGTCCCCAATAGGTGGCACCTACTTCCTCATCTCCCGGAGTCTCGGCCCAGAGCTAGGGGGCTCCATCGGCCTCATTTTTGCTTTTGCCAACGCCGTGGGTGTGGCCATGCATACCGTGGGCTTCGCAGAGACCGTGCGGGACCTGATCCAGGTGAAGCCAGAGGGAGCCCGGGCAGCCTCCCTCGCTCTCCCCGACCCCGTCTAGGCCAGGCCTTCCTGCCCCTCTGCCCGATTTTACCCTTCAGGGGCCACAGCCACAGTCTGACCGCTGTGGGTGACTGTGATGATCTCAAATAAAGACCATTCCCAGAAGTCCCCTTCAGGGCCGCGTGTTGCCTTTGGAGCTCAACTGTCCAGATCGGCACAGCAGCCACTCTAGGGGCTCTGTTGCCAGGGAAGGGGGTTGTGTTTCTGTTTAGCCGTGAGAGGATACCCATACTTGAGGTGAATCAAGTTGGAGGAGTCTGGGGGGGGGGTGTTCAGAGGGCAGCGTGCAGCCTGGCCTGTCCCCCTCCCCAGGAGTATGGCACACCTATCGTGGACCCCATCAATGACATCCGCATCATCGGCGTGGTCACCGTCACCGTGCTGCTGGCCATCTCCCTGGCTGGCATGGAGTGGGAGGCCAAGGTGAGGAGGGGAGGTCAGGAGTGATCAGGTGGAGAAGCGGGAGTCGTGAGGCCTGGGTCCCAGGCCTGGTTCTGCCTCTTCTTGGTGTATTAAATGGGCTTCTTGTTCTGCGGCTGTGACAGAGAGACCCTAAAGAACGGAACCTCTCTCCTGTAACCATCTAGGTGTGTATGGCTCCCGGGGCTCAGGCACCCAGCCCGCTCCATCCTATGGCCTTCATGCACCTGCTCCACGGCGGCCACAGTCCAATCAGCAGGGAGGGGAGAAGGCCTTTTTCTTTTCCTTTTCGGGCCCTGTCCGGAAGTTGCACATATCCCTCTGCATCCATCCCGTCAGCCCGAACTTGGTCTCGTGGCCACACCTAAGGGGCAGGCAGGGCAGGGAAATGTGTCCTCATGTGAACCCATATCCAGCCAAAATTCAGAGGCTTAGCACTGTGGAAGGAGGGCAGAAGAAACATGGGGCGTCAGCAGGCAGACTTGGCAGATCTGGCCCCTGCCCCCCGCCCCCGCCTCTCCTCTTTCCCCCTCACTCTGGCCTCCAGCTCCGCCACCCTCCTTCCTCGCTGTCCCCAGCTTGTGCCCCTGATCATTCTGCAGCTCGCTCCTCCACCTCCTTTAGATCCCTTGAAGACACCGTTGTAGACCACTCTGCTAACATAGCCCCCACACAGCCCCCAACACACCCTTGTTCTTACTCTAGAGTCGTGTCCCGTATTTATCAGCAAGACAAGAGCCTTGCTATATTGCCAACTCCTAGAACGGGGCCTGCAGCATAATGGGTGGCGGATGAATGAATGAATGAATGAATGAATGAATGAATGGGGGAGGGAGGGACTCTGGGCAGGTTCTGTCCTGCTGGGGCTCCCTGAGCAGGCGGGGCCAGGCCATCTGACCTCTAGGGTCCTTTACACCCAGGCCCAGGTGCTCTTCTTCCTCGTCATCATGGTCTCCTTTGCCAACTACTTGGTGGGGACGCTGATTCCCCCATCTGAGGACAAGGCCTCCAAAGGCTTCTTCAGCTACCGGGGTACGTGCAGGTTGGGGGCCCTGTCCATGGCTCCGGGGACAGGTACAGTCTGCCCACCCATCTGGCCCATTCCGTGGGCACCGGAAGGAGGGTTCCCCCAACTGCCAGGCCTGGAAGCTGCCAGAGAGGAGGAGCCTCCTGCCTGCCTGGCTGGGCCCAGCCTTCTGGGTGGCCCTGATTCAGGCTTTGGTCTTCCCAGCGGACATTTTTGTCCAGAACTTGGTGCCCGACTGGCGGGGCGTCGAAGGCAGCTTCTTCGGAATGTTCTCCATCTTCTTCCCCTCGGCCACAGGCATCCTGGCAGGGGCCAACATCTCCGGGGACCTCAAGGTGAGCAGGATGCCTGCCCTCCTGCCTCCTGGCCCTGTCCTACCAAGATCTCCCACTGGGCACTGAGCTGGGCACTGAGACGGCGGGGCCAGAGCTTCTAAAATCCAGTCCAGTCCAACTCAACTCAATCGCAGCCAATCCAAACCAACTCCGTTCACCCCACTCAATTCCGAGGTTGTTGATTGACACCAGCTCTGTTCTAGGCCTGGAGGACCACCCTAAAATGGGCGGAGCTCCTCCGTAGTTCCTAGGACTCTCAGCCTAAGGGGGAAGACTGAGCCAGCTTGACCTTCCAAAGCTCAGACTGGTTCATGCACATCTTTACTGGGCTGGCATCCTCCCAGGGCTCCCCACTGTCTTGATGCGGACCATCTCCTCTGCTCAGAGTTTGAGGCTCCGGCCCACGGTCGTCAGTCCCATGTCCCCTGCCCCAGCCCCGAGGATCAGCGGCTTACCCTGTGTGGCCTGTTCCTCCTCTGTGTCTTTGTCTCTGCTGTGCTCTCTCCCTGGGATGTCCGACCCTTGTTTCTTTACCTTGAGATGTTCTGTTCCTCTTTCAAATAACACCTCCATCTTTAAATCTCTCCCAGCCCTCTGTCAGAGTCCTGGCTCCCCTAGCCGAATGATGTCAGGCCATTTACGTGTCTCTTCTCCCTTCCAGTTCTCTTTATCTGGAGAACTGAGGCCTACCTCTATGTCACCATTCCCAGCTAAGAGTCAGACACATACTACGTGCTCAGTACACGTTTGTTGAGTGAATAATGGTGAAATGTATTGACTGGGAGGTTTAGAGCACAAAGAGTACAAAGTGGGGAAGAAGGAGAGATGGATGTCAGCAGAGGCTCCAGCAGAACTTCTGGATGGAGGTGGGGCCGGAGCGAAGGGGCCGGTCGTGTCTTTGCCAAGGCAGGATCAAGGAGATAGATGGGGCGCGAGTGGGGTGAACAGTGAAAACCCGGCTCGGTGCTGGGAACCCTTCCCTCCCAGCCTCTGGTCCCACCTGAAAGGTGCTCCTTGATGCATTTTCTTAAGTGAATGAAGAACGGTGCTTTGGAGACAGTCTCCACCCAGCCTGGCTCTAACTGGGGGTGCCCAGGTGGTGCACAGCATGGCCTGGAAATCGCAGAGTGGCCATGTTTGCCCAGCTCCTCTCCCTTCTCTGGGGAGCGGCCAGCAGAGGCCTGGTCTGCCTGCCTGCCCAGAGGTCCCTGCAGAGGTCAGTCTTGTGCTTAGACAGCCCGGTTCTCCTGCCAGCCCTGCTACAGACTAGCAATTTATCTAGACGCTTCGTCCAGCCTCTCAGGTTACCAACCAGCACGGTGTGTAGGTGTCAGGGCTCGGCAGCTGTCCCGGAGCTGGGGGGTGGGGAGTAGGGGTACACTTTTGCTCTGTCCTGAATGCCCTCAAGCCCTCAAGGGGCCCTTCTCTCTTGGGTCCAGCCCTCTGCCCATTCTGCGAGACACGGTGCTGTCAGCTGCTGAAGAGCAGCTCCCATTCATGGAGACTTTATGCAAGTCCCTTAAAACCTCTCTGGGCTTCAGCTTTGCCAACTATAAGATAGGACTCATAGCACCCACTCCTGCTTCCCAGAGCAGGGAATAAGGATTCCGCGTGCTGATTTATGTGAAGCGCTTGGAAAAGTGCCCAGCATGAAGGAAGTACAAAGGGCTGGTTGTCAAGGTCATGGTCATTTTTCCCATGAGGCTGCAGGGGGCCTCGTTCTTTCCAAACATGACCCTGGGTGGGGGGTGCAGCCGTGAGGGCTCGTCACCCCCACTTCAGAGAGGAGCAAACCAAGCTCAGAGAGGGCTGGGCGTTGCCCAGGGCCAGACAGCAGAGGGGCTGGAGGGCAAATTTCTAGAGCAAAGAGGCCTCAAATCCATCATAAACTAATCATTCAAGAATATTTTCTGAGCATCTGCTTTGTGCTAGTGTCTTGTGGATACAGCAGTAAACAAAGAACAAAGACACAAATCCGTGCCTCATGCAGCTGACATTCTGGTGAGAAAGAGAGACAATCAACCCATAAGTAAGTAGGATGTGACATTCCCCAACCCCTTAGCTCTCACAGAGCAATCTCGTGAACATCACCCTGTGCTATGGCCAAGGAAACCTTTACTAGCTTAATTTTCTGATGGGGAGGCTGAGGCTCAGAGACAAGGGACTTCCTGGTGATTGATGTGGGGTCTGTGCCGCACCTGGGGTGGTCCCAGGGTGCGTCCCTGAGCACGACACAGCCCCCGCTCCTAACTGCTCACATTTATGGTGTACTACAGTGATTCTCATCTCACGGATTGGGGTTGGGGGGCATCACTGAGGCTCAGAGAGGTTAAAGGGCTTGTCCCAGCTCACACAGCTGGGGGGAGATGCTGAGATGTGGATCCAGATGTGTCTGATTTGTAAGCCAGGCGCGGAGATTTCAGGCCAAGATGTAGGGGCTGGATGGAGGCCTGGAGTAGCCACGTCCCAGGGCCTCTGTAACAAACGACCACAAGCACTGTGGCTTAAAACAACAGACATTTATTCTTGCACAGCTCTGGAAGCCAAAGTCCAACAAAACAAAGGTGTCAAGGGCCATGCTCCCTGTAAAGGCTCTCGGGGAGAATCCTTCCTGTCCTCTCCCAGCTTCTGGCGGCTCTGACAGTCTTTAGCCTTCCTTGGCTTGGAGCTGTGTCTCTGCAGTCTCTGCCGCTGTCTTCCCATGGCCTCCTTCCCTCTGTGTGTCCTTGCCCCTTCTTACAGGAACACTTGTCATGGGATTTAAGGCCCGCCTAACCGGGTAGGACCTCAGCTTAACTAATTACATTTTGCAAAGACCCTATTTCCAAATAAGGTCATATTCTTTTTTTTTTTTTTGTAAAGATTTTATTTATTTATTTGAGAGAGAGAGAATGAGAGAGAGCACATGAGAGGGGGGAGGGTCAGAGGGAGAAGCAGACTCCCTGCCGAGCAGGGAGCCCGATGCGGAACTCGATCCCGGGACTCCAGGATCATGACCTGAGCCGAAGGCAGTCGCTTAACCGACTGAGCCACCCAGGCGCCCCCAAATAAGGTCATATTCTGAGGTTCTGGGTGAACACGAATTTTTGGAGCTACTGTCCAACCCACTAGAGGTGGGATGGGAGGTTGAGCCGGCCTGCTGGCCTAGGGACCAGGGACTCTGTGTGCTTGACCTGGTCGGGCCATCCTGGTACCCAGAGCAGGGCTGGCAGGGCCCCACCAGGAGAAACCTCAGCAGACCTGGAAGCTCCAGAGCCCCCAGACCCCCTCCAGCTCTGCACCTCTGCTTCCACTTGGCTCTGCCCTACCGCTCCCTTCCTCCCAGCCCTGGCCTTCAGAGCCACCCCAGTCGTCGCCTCCGCCATGAGGCCTTCCGTGGTTCCTGCAGTGTCTCCCTCCCCCAGCCTTGTTCTCCAGCACACTCCAGTCCGCCCCATGACAGGGGCCATCTGCCCCGTGTCGGCAGGATCCTGCCTATACCTCCTTCCCTGGGGCCCAGGGTCCTCCAGGGTGAGGGCCAGGGCTTGCTCATCACGGAGCGACCATCGGTTCCAACTCAGGCTCCCGAGTGTTGAGGCAGAGAAGTGGGTTGTTGCCAGCCTGGTTTGGACCTGCCTGTGACAATGTCATGGTCCCTCCCAGCTCTGTCATTTGTGGTTCTACCGGCCTGTTGTGCAGGACGGCCCAGTAAAAGCTGGGAGTTTGCTTCCCAGTCCTGTGGCCTGCCCCTGGGGTTGGGGTCTACACCTGGCAGGGAACCTGCTGGAAAAATCCCGGCCTGTGTCACTCCACCCGGGACCAGCCCCCAGTGGCCCGAGGCTGTGGACCTCAGTGTGGTAGGAACGAGCTGCCCCTGGCTCAGCCAGCTGGGCCCTCTGCACAGCTTCCTGGCCTCAGTTTCCCCACCAGCTGGATGGGGACACTGGCCACTTTACAGGAAGTTATATACGAGGAAGGGTCTGGAAGAGTGGAACACGTGATGTGCACGTGTGAAGATTTGCTATTTCTGTTAGGAAAATGCCAGCAGAGAGTTTTTCCTCGGAGGGGAGAGAGTTTGGGGCTTGTCTGTATATTAATTGCTGCGGAAGCACTCAGACCAGTTGGTGCATAATGGTGATTAACTCGCAGCCGGCACTGCCTGTGAGCCAGGCCCTGGTCTAGGAGCTTGGTGTGGATTAAGTCACTTAGCCGGCATCCCTGTGAGGCTGGAGGGGCTGAGGCGTAAAAGAGCATGCCCACCACCCAGCCAGTCACCTGGAAGTGAGCGCAACCAGGCTGACTCCAGAGCCCCCCACTTCAGGGCCCCCAGAGCCTGCGTTGGCCAGTGTCCTCGGGAACCAGGCATGGAGCTGGTTGGAGCTTCTCTCCGTGCCTCAGGCTCCCAGGGCCTGGATGTGTTCTCAGCCGCATGATCTTGCTTATGTCCCATCCTGCTTTTCGGGTTGCAATCGCAAGGGTTCTTCCTCTCTGGGCCCTGGGGAAGGGGGCTCTGAGAGGGGGCCGGGTTGGGGGATCACTGGCCCACCCCCGGCCTCGGACAAAGGCAGGGCCTGGAAGGAGGCCCAGAGGCTGCCTGATGCCCTCCCTCCCTCCCCCTCCCCCCAGGACCCTGCTGTAGCCATCCCCAAGGGAACGCTCATGGCTATTTTCTGGACCACTGTCTCCTACCTGGCCATCTCAGCTACAATTGGTGAGTAGCTGCCCAGGACCACTGAAAGGGTTTCAGGGTGCTTCGCTCTCCAACAGGGAGAGCTGGGCCAGGAGCACATGGCCACCTCAGGAAGTGGAAGCTCAAACCTTATTTTGGGGGGCCAGTGGTGGTGACCAGAACATCTTCATGGGAGGTGGTAGTTTGTGGTGGGGATGGGGGTGGTCAGACCAGGCTCTTCTGGTCCGTTCAAACCTGAAGTTACAGATGCAAGGGTGGGAAAATGCTAGAGGACAAATTGTACGCTGACCCAACGACTAATAATAATAACAATAACGATGATGGTGGTGGTTGAAGATGATACTAGCCCTTGACTCAACCATAGGCCCAGCCCTTCACGTGCCTCATCACATTTAATCCGGGCACTGCCTTTCCCACCATTTTACAGAGGAGAAAACCAGGGCTCAGAGAGGTTAAGGGACCTGCCCAAGGTCACACGGCCACTGAGTGGTGGAGCCAGGCTTTGAACCCAGGCCTGGGCTGTTGACACTTGCCTCTCACGGAGGTCCTCACAGGTGCTCCCATTAACCACCCTGTGAGGCAGGCTGTTCACAGATGGCCAAGGGACACGGCCCAGGGCGCAGCCAGTCTGGCCTCTGCTTTGAGGAGGACACGGGCAGGGGTGGGGGGGTGGGGGGGTACCTTAACAAGCCACTTCACGTTGCTGGGCCTCTGTAGAATGACGACAACAAAGGCGATGGTGATGCTTGCTTCCCGGGGTTGTTACCCGTCCTTAGCGTTGTGCCTGGCACGTCTGTGTTGCTGTTACTATTGTTATTATTATTACTTATGCCTACATGCTGAAGAGGGAGCTGGCCTCGCAGCAGCTTCTTGCCCTCTGCAGGAGTGACCGTGTCTGGGGGTGGGAGGAGAGGAGGGAGGAGGGAGGGGAGGGAGGGAGGCCTCCCCAAGCCCTGCTCCCTCTTCAGGCTCCTGCGTGGTTCGGGATGCCTCCGGGGCCCTGAATGACACGGTGACCCCCGGCTCGGGCGCCTGCGAGGGGCTGGCCTGCGGCTACGGCTGGAACTTCACCGAGTGCGTCCGCCAGGGCAGCTGCCGCTATGGCCTCATCAACTACTACCAGGTGCGTGCGGCCCCTGCCGGGAAGGCCACCCCAGACTGGGGCTGGAACAGGCCAGGACGCACTTGGGCCCCAGGCTTGGGGGGAAGAGGTTCAGGCTCAGGTGGGGGCCCTGGGGCCCAGCCCCTGCCTCAGCGGCCCCTGGGATCCCCAGGTAAGGGGTGTGGACTCCGAGGCCTCAGGACCTAGCCCCTGCCTGCAGCGGGGACTGGGGTGCCCTGGGTGGGGGCTCCGGGCATGAGGGGCTCCACCGCGAGGGGCCTGGACCCGTGTCCCCGCAGACCATGAGCATGGTGTCCGGCTTTGCGCCCCTGATCACGGCTGGCGTTTTTGGGGCCACCCTCTCCTCCGCCCTGGCCTGCCTCGTCTCTGCTGCCAAAGTCTTCCAGGTGAGGCTGCGGAACGGGCGGCGGGAGGGTCCAGGAGGCCCAGGTGCAAGGGTCCCCTGGTGACTGCTAAGGGTCTGGGGGTATCGCGGGACAGGGACAGTCCAGACTGAAGGCAAAAGGGGGCCAGTGACCAACTCGCGCAGGAAGCAGCCCCCCTCCCATGCGTGCTTTGAAGAGCACCTGCACTTCCCACCCCAGAGTCTCCCCTGCGCAGCCTGGCGTCCTGTCTGCAAGTCCGCTGACCCCTTTTCACCCCGACACAGTTGCCTCCCCTCTCATCTTGCCCTTTTGCTGTCTCCCTGGTGAGGTGTGGGTGGGCATGGAGATGACTCCCATTTAAGAGACAGAAACCAGGATGTAGATTAGAGGAAGCGTCCTGCTGGGGTGGAGGGAGGAAGCAGGGCCTGGGGCGGGGAGGGGAGCTGTCGGGCAGAGGAGGGGAGGGGGGCCCAGCCTGGGGTGAGCACATCTTCCCGTGCCCACAGTGCCTGTGTGAGGACCAACTGTACCCGCTGATCGGCTTCTTCGGGAAGGGCTACGGCAAGAACAAGGAGCCGGTCCGCGGCTACCTGCTGGCCTACGCCATCGCCGTGGCCTTCATCATCATCGGTGAGAGGCTGCCAGGGCGCGGGGGCCTGTGAGGGCCCCTCTCCGTGCTGCTCACCTTGGCACCCAGTGCCCAGCCAGGCCCAGCAGGGTGTGGGCACTCAGTGACTAACCCTCGAGTGGGTGAGGCTGGTCATGTGGTCCCCGCCCCTCTCCCGGCTCCAGACAGGTGGCTGCCACACCACACCAGGTGGACCATTCTATTTCGTTAGAAGGGACCCTACCTGCTCTTGCTGATTCTGCATTCCTGTGTCCTGGCAAGTGGCCCCCCCCACCCCACCCCCACCAGCCCCCAGGTCTGAATTAGTCCCCAGGACAACTCTGGAGCCCAGGACAGCTCTTGGGAGCTGATACAAAGAGCTGGATCAATATCTCTGTAGTGTGTATAAGCTAGACAACCTCGTTTCTCAGACCTTGAGCTGCCAGACCCCTCGGACTTCGTGGTAGAGGATGCCCCAGGAGACAGATCCCAGTTAACCAGTTAGTTAGATTGGCTTTCTACCCTGGCTTTGCCATATTCCAGCTGTGCTACCTTGGACAAATCATTTTACCTTCCCGAGCCTCAGTTTCTTCGTCTGCAGAATGGGAGCAATAGCGCATAGCAGGTGCGTCACAGGTGGGCAGGCAGAGACTTCTGTGTACATACATACACACGCATGCACATGCATTGCATTTCATGCACACACTCCCAGTACTTCCTGATTTACTTAGCCAACAAGGCAGAACTTGCTAGGAGAAAGGTGGCCACACCAAGCAAGGACAGTGGCCATGCTATGGCCCCCGATGCAGGAGTGGGGCGGGGGCTGGCTGCTGGTCGTCCTGTGGTCCTGCCATAGCTGAATCCCTGCTGTTCATGCTGGCATCAGCAATCATGAGACTCACCCTATCAGTCTACTCTCTTCCATCAAGGAAGCCTGGCCAGACACTGGGTATTCCCAGATCCTGAACCAGATGAAGAGGCAGCAGGGCCACCCCCAGGGGATGGAAACCTCTCGTCAGGCCTAGTGTTCCCCAGGCACATCCCTGCTTCCTGCTCGTCCTGCAGTCTACCCCCAACTCAGATTTTGTGTCCTTTGATCTGAGTGGATCTGACCGCAGTTCAGACTGAGAACTGTAATCTCGGATGCTCTGGGGCAGGGTTCTTGTGGCGATTCAAGGGAATCATGCTCAGAAGTCCCGACACCTAAGAGGTGCTTGTCTTGTTTTGGGGTTCCCCTCGAAGCAGGCCCCTGAAACAAGGATACCCATGCAAAAGTTTGTCTGGCCGTGCCAGGGGCAATGGCAGCCAAGTGAGACAGGGAAGGGAGGACCCAGTTCTTCAGTGGGTTTCCACTGTGGGTGGAACTGTGTGTGTCCTATGGTCCCAGAGTTTCAGATAGAAGAGGACGTGGGCCTTAGATCACATTGTAAAATATATTTCTTACTGTAATTTGTGGCTACAAAAAAAGTATGACAACCACTGTCCTTGGTTCTCCCATAAGATCTCCCATTTCTCTGCATCCTCTTAAGAGCCGGCCTTTTACAGTAAACAAAACATCGGCCCTTTGTTTCACAAAATGATGGACCCATTTCACAGATGAGAAGGTTGAGACGCACTGAGCCTCTGCGGCCTGTCTGGAATCCCCCAACTGCAAGGAAGGGTACCAGGCTGCTCCCTGACAGGTTGCCCAACAGACTGTTCTCTCTCTCCCTCGGGTCCCCGAAGCTGAGCTCAACACCATTGCCCCCATCATCTCCAACTTCTTCCTGTGCTCCTATGCCCTCATCAACTTCAGCTGTTTCCACGCCTCCATCACCAACTCGCCTGGTAAGCAGCGCCCCCTCACCCCTCTGTGGGAGGAGGCATGTGGGGCGGGGGCCGGGGTGGGGGCGGGGAAGGCACGGATGTAGGTGGGCACACCAAGGTCACTTGTCAAATCAAAACCAATTCAAGGGACCATTCATGTCATAATAATAATAGCAGCTCTCATTTCTCAAGCACTTATGCTGTACACGGAACACGGATTCATACACTGTTTACAGGGTGCAGAGATTTCTCTAGTGCCTTCCTCCACCAAATTTACAGGAGTCAGGAATCTGACTCCCCAGAAAAGGAAGAGAATTGCCCAAAGTCCCAGGTTGTTGCAGGCTGCACTTTGCACAACTCCCGGGGTGCCGCTCACATACGTCATCCATTTGTATGTTTATTCTAAAAAATTTCTGGCAGGTGGCAGTGAAGTATCCCAAGAAAGCCTTTTTCTGATTATCCCCGAATTGCCAATGGGCTGGTCGCCAGGCCACCTTTTCCTTAGCCCGGGAACCGTGGCACCCCACAGTTGTGCCATGGGGTGGCTGTCCCTGGTGGCTCTGCAATGGCCCGGGGGTGTGGAGCCAGGGAGAATCACAGCCTTCCCCGGCCTGCCACCCCCTTGGCTCCGCGAGACACGGGAGCTGGTGCTGTTGCTGACGTATGGCCACATTTGGATGCCTCGTCCTTGGTGTAGCCTGTCAATGTGGCCAAATGCCAGCCAAGGCGGGCGTGTGGTCCTCCCCAGAGCCTCCAGCCCAGCCCCAGGAGAGCCGGAGTGCGGGGGGGGGGGTGCAGGTGGGCACAGGCTGGGACCCTGGCTCTGGGCATGGCCGGCATTGCCACCCCGGCCCTGCCCAGCAGCCCTGGCCCAGGAGGAAGCTCCAGAACATGCCCACCGACCTGCATCCTCTGCCCAGGGTGGAGACCCTCGTTCCAGTACTACAGCAAGTGGGCGGCGCTGTTTGGGGCGGTCATCTCTGTCGTCATCATGTTCCTTCTCACCTGGTGGGCGGCCCTCATTGCCATCGGAGTCGTCCTCTTCCTCCTGCTCTATGTGATCTACAAAAAGCCAGGTGTGCGGGCTCAGGTTGCCCAGGGGCTCAGGCTCCCCTTCCCCCACCCCCCGAGGGCACCAAGCCAGCCATCTTGCCCTTCAGCTCAGCTAGAGGGCCTGCATCAGGCTCTGTGCTCTCAAGGGCCCTGCTCTGACCTTCCAGCCCCGTCCCTCCCCGTGGGGTGAGTAGTCTATGGGGACGTGCCCACTCAGAGCCCACACCTCTACTTCTGGACCTCCCACCCCTGGCACCCAGGACCCTGGAATTGCCTGCCCAGGGCCATCCTCTTGAAGTGGCTGGGCTGCTGGGGTGCACATCTAGGCCTGAGGGGTGGTGAGGGGCTGGCTGACGGAAAGGCAGGTGGACACAGCATGCAAGCAAGGATCCTGGGGTGACAGTGATCTCGGGACAAGATGCAGAACTCCAGGAAAGCCTAGAATTCTAAATTTGAACCTGGTCTTCTAGGTCGTTGTCTGTTGGTCAAGAGAGGTGAATATTTTGTAGAGTTTAATACTTTGGTTTTGGGTTTTTTTTTTTTAAGATTTTATTTATTTGTCAGAGAGAGAGAGAGCACAAGCAGGGGGAGCACCAGGCAGAGGGAGACGCAGGCTCCCCGCTGAGCAAGGAGCCCAATGTGGGGCTCGATCCCAGGACCCTGGGATCATGACCTGAGCGATGGCAGACGCTTAACCACCTGAGCCACCCAGGTGTCCCTAGAATTTAATGCTTTGGAGTGTAAGTTTTAAATATGTAGCTGTACCGGGCGCCTGGGTGGCTCAGATGGTTAAGCGTCTGCCTTCGGCTCAGGTCATGATCTCAGGGTCCTGGGATCGAGTCCTGCATCGGGCTCCCTGCTCCTTGGGAGCCTGCTTCTCCCTCTGCCTCTCTCTCTCTCTGTCTCTCATGAATAAATAAATAAAATTAAAAAATATATATATTAAATATATAGCTGTATGATGCGTGCAAACATTAGGAAGAAATCTGCAGGCTGTCCACCCACCAGGCAGCCCAGCTCCCACGGTGCCTGATTCCTAAAGAAGGTCATCATTCCCTCCCTCGGCACGACTGGTTTCTCCCGGGGGTTTCTAATCTTGTGCTCACCCCCCACCCTCAGAGGTGAACTGGGGATCCTCGGTACAGGCCGGCTCCTACAACCTGGCCCTGAGCTACTCAGTGGGCCTCAACGAGGTAGAGGACCACATCAAGAATTACCGGTGAGCGCAGCCGTGTCCCTGCTCTGGGAGGCTTCAAACCACCTGTCACCTGCCCCCGCAGACCGGGGGTGGGCACCACCCAGGCTCAGAGAGGGAACAGACGTGGAGAAGCACCGCTCCGCGGTGAGGGCCTGGGTTGACGTGGCTCAGTGGGGACCAAGCCGGTCTAGTGACCTCTCTGTACCTGAGTTTTTACAGCAGAATATGTTCTTCGAGACGCAAAGGGCCATCCAAGGACGATCTGGTGTTGTAGTCCCTGTCACAGTCATCTGTGAGGCTGACCGTGACGAACCTCTCCTAAGCGAGGAGAGTCATGTGTGTGGGACTCCGTCCCACCAGACGGTAATGCTAACATCAGCCACATGTATTCGCGTTGCATTGCTGCTCAAAAGTGCCTTATGCCAACTTACCACAGCCCTCTGGGGCATATGAAATTACTAACCCCAGCCGCTGATGAGAACATGGACGCACAGAGACATTAAGTAACTGGCCCGAGGTCACACAGCTGGTGAGTGACTGATTTTGTCTGGCTCCAGCTGAGTCTGGCAGTGGCCCCTGACCACGGCCCTTGGTTGCCTCTTCATCCGGAGGCTGAGTTCCCCCCCCCACCCACATGGCACAGGGATCTTGAAAGTGATGTGCCTCCCCACCCCCAGCCTTTATTCTCCCCGGCACCTGCGTTTTGTACCCAGATCCCCGTGGGCTCTGTCCAGATGGCTCATGCCCTTTTCCCTTCCCCTCCTCAGCCCCCAGTGCCTAGTGCTTACAGGGCCCCCCAACTTCCGCCCGGCTCTGGTTGACTTTGTGGGCACCTTCACCCGGAACCTCAGCCTGATGGTCTGTGGCCACGTGCTCATCGTGAGTGGCCCCTATAGGTGGGGTGGGGCCATGCCCTTGGAGGAGCCCTTGGGCATGAAGTCCACCCTTGGACGGCGGCCAGAGAGTGTGGGGAGGAGTGGGGGGCGGAGGGGCTATGGAGCAAGCAGAGCCCACCAGACCCTGCTGTGGGCCTGGTTCTCTCCCCTCCCCTGTCCCCATCGCTGGCTTCTCCGCACTGCCCCGCCTCTTGCCTGCTCCCTCCATCTTCCTTCCCCCGCCCTCCACCCTCCCTCCTCCTCCTCTTGGCCTCCCCTAACTCCATAGGGGAAAAAGGGTGTGGCTGAGCCCCTGGGGCAGCCTCCAGGGAGGAGAGGGGCTGAATCTCATTAGGGCCAGAGGGTGAAGGCAGCTCCTGATGTCACCTGCCCCCACCACCCACAGGGACCTCGCAAACAGAGGATGCCTGAGCTCCGGCTCATCACCAATGGGCACACCAAGTGGTTGAACAAGAGGAAGATCAAGGCCTTCTACTCGGATGTCATTGCTGAGGACCTCCGCAGTGGTGTTCAGATTCTCATGCAGGTGCCACGGGTTCGGGGCTTCCCCACAGGACTTAATACTTGGTGTGACAACCTGGAAGGTGGGATGTCCCGAGGGGCTAGTTGAAGCTCCTTTTGCTGCAACGGGAGTGCCTGCCTCTCTTGTCTCTCCAGATATGCTGACTCAGGGCACTTTCTCACGGTGTCCAGGGGCCTATGGGAAACTGAGCTGGGAGCCCATGGGGCCTGTGTGATCTTGAGCAATTCTTGTTTTTCTTTTTTCTTTTTTTTTTTAAATATAATTACAGACAGCAAAGTGGAAAATATTAAGTGTATAGTCTGATACATATTTGCATATGCAGATACACCCAGGGGTGTGAAGCCACCACTCAGATCAAGTTCTAGAATGTTCCACTGGGCAATTCATTTTCCTGCTGGGTTTTCTCAGCTTGTAAAATGGGATGCATAGATACAATAACAGTTGTTAATCCTGAGCCAGCATATCAGAGTCCTTTCTAATAATTCTAAATACTTCTCATTTTAAAAAAAAGAACATACAGGGCCTTCTTTGGGGGGGATATGAAAATATTTTGAAAGTAGATAGAAGTGATGGTTGCATAACATTGTGACTATACTAAATTCTACTGAATTATATGCTTTAAAAATGGTTAATTTTGTGTATGGGAATTTCACTTCAAAAAAATTTTTAACATTTTTAAACACTAAAAAAAGTATAAACGATGTAGGGGTAAGATGGCCTGGGGATACTCTCAGTTTGGCATCCACATTCAAGTCCCTTGGGATGAGAAATAATTTGCTAGAGAAGCAGGAAGTGGGATAATCCAGAGCTAATGGGACAGTCCGGTCCTGGTAGCTTCTGGCTGTAGCTTCCCCTCTCTCCTGGGTGTGTGTAGGCGGGCAGGACCCTGACTGGCGGATTGTGATTCCTGAGCCCTCGCACGTGGCGGAGAGGGTAGCTGGGGCTGAGCGAGCCCCACCCCAGTCACAGAACAGAGCCTCTCACCTCAGTCCAACATCCTTTGCAGGCCACAGGTCTTGGGAGAATGAAGCCCAACATTCTGGTGGTTGGGTTCAAGAAGAACTGGCAGTCTGCTCACCCAGCCACAGTGGAAGGCTACGTTGGCATCCTGCAGTGAGTGAGGGCATGAGGGAGGCAGGGCCTGGGGTCTGTTGATTTGGGCCTTCGGAGTTTCCTCGGCCTTGGGAAGCAGGGGGGATGCAGTGGATATTATAAGAAGATGGTTCAAAGCTGAGGAAGAAACAGACCCACTGAGGGCTCGCCACTCTGACCTCTGGGCCATGGGCGCCAAGATGGGCCAGGAACATGCAGGGAACACAGAGAAGGAGACCCATAGGGAGCAGAGGGGACTGTGGCAAGCTGCCGTGAGCAGCTGTGCCCAGCTAGAAATGTGGACGCAGTGTTGCCAGAGCTTCTGGTTTCTCAGAGAAGCCGAAAAGGTGGGTTTTTAGGTGACAACCTTGTGCCCGCCTGTGGACTCTAGCAGATCTGCAGAGAGCCGGCTCTGGAGCTGTGAGGTGGTGCCACGGAGCGGGAAGCGAAACCAGGCCTCCCAGGAGGCGGCAGTGTGGGGAATGCGGCCACGAGGATAAACTCCCTGGGGACTTCAGGCCGAAGTCCAAACCCTTTCTCCTTCAGCTTCGCCCGTGCAACCTCCAGAAAATGCCTGCCTGAGTCGCTTTTCTGTGTTGACGTGGTACAGAGAAGCACTGTGTAGTAGCCTTTAAAGAACAAAGGCTGGGGGGCCTGGGAGGCTCTGTCAGTTGAGCATCCGACTCTTGATTTCGGCTCAGGTTGTGATCTCAGGGTTGTGGGATCAAGCCCCACATCAGGCTCCATGCTCAGTGTGGAGTCTGCTTGGGATTCTCTCTCTCCCTCTGCCCCTCCCACCCTGCTTGTGCATGCTCTCTCTCTCAATCTAAATAAATAAATAAAAATAGAAGTATTTTAAAAATTAATAAATAGAAAGAAAGGAGGAAGGAAGGAAGAGAAAGAAAAAAGAGAGAGAAAGAAAGAAAGAAAAAGAAAGAAGGAAAGAAAGAAAGAAAAAGGGAAGAAGGAAGGAAAAGAAAGAAAGAAAGAAAAAGAATGAAGAAGGAAGGAAGAGAAAGAAAGAAAGAAAAGAAAGAAAGAAAGAAAAAAGGAAGAAGGAAGGAAGGGAAAGAAAGAAAGAAAAAGAAAGAATGAAGAAGGAAGGAAGAGAAAGAAAGAAAGAAAGAAAGAAAGAAAGAAAGAAAGAAAGAAAGAAAGAAAGAAAGAAAAAGGGAAGAAGGAAGGAAGGAAGGAAAAGAAAGAAAGAAAATGAAGAAGGAAGGAAGAGAAAGAAAAGAAAGAAAGAAAGAAAGAAAGAAAGGAAAGGGGAAGAGGGAAGGAAGGAAGGAAAAGAAAGAAAGAAAGAAAGAAAGAAAGAAAGGAAAGAAAGAAAGAAAAGAAAGAAAGAAAGAAAGAAAAAGGGAAGAAGGAAGGAAGGAAGGAAAAGAAAGAAAGAAAGAAAGAAAGAAAGAAAGAAAGAAAGAAAGAAAGAAAGAAAAAGAATGAAGAAGGAAGGAAGAGAAAGAAAAAAAAGAAAGAAAGAAAGAAAGAAAAAGGGAAGAAGGAAGGAAGGAAGGAAAAGAAAGAAAGAAAATGAAGAAGGAAGGAAGAGAAAGAAAAGAAAGAAAGAAAGAAAAGAAAGAAAAGAAAGAAAGAAGGAAGGAAGGAAGGAAGGAAGGAAGGAAGGAAGGAAGGAAGGAAGGAAGGAAGGAAGGAAGCTGAGTGTTGGGGGCCTGGGACCTGCTTCCTGGTCTGCTGTGACCCAGCCACTTGACTCTGAGCCAGGCATCTCAGCTACCTCTGACCATGACAACAGGTAGTGGAATACCTGTTCTCCAGCTCCAGTGCTCCAAGACCTCAAAGTGCTGGGCCCTGAGAAGTGCCTGTCCCAGGGATGTGTAACTACAGGAGCCCACGGGGGCAATGCTGAGCCCATCAGATCAAGCCCCGCTGGTGGTCTCTGGGGCCCTCTGTCAGCTGGGCAGAGAATATACTTCCGGGTGGGAGTCTTCTTGACGTTCCCGCAGGCAAGCTGTTGCTGCCATCTTGGGCGAGGCCATTCCTGTGTGTGCCAACCCTCAGCGTTCCGTCTCAGCTCTTCGATTCTAAAGCCAGCCGGCCATTTCCTTAGCATGGATCATGGGCAAGTTACTCCCGGAAACTCAAGTTTTGCCTCTGTAAAATAGGGTTGAGAATTCCCATGCCCACCTCTGTTGGCAGGCTTGTGCAGATTATCCAAACGTATCAGGAGGACAGGGCCTGTCTTGAAGACTGGCCTGACTTGGTTTCCCCCCGAGTACAGGGTCTGCAGCATCCTTAGTGCCACGGACCATAGAGCTAGAGTCTCCCCACCTGCATGTTACACAGGTGGGGAGACTGAGGCCCTGAGAGAAAGAAGGGCACGGTGGGGAGGCAGGGCCCACTGTAGTCATCTGGTCTCCTGGGGGCCGGGGGCTGGGAAGGAGAGGAGCCTGACCCCACCTCTCCTCTTTCCAGTGATGCTTTTGACTTCAACTATGGTGTGTGTGTCATGAGGATGCGAGAGGGGCTCAACGTCTCAGAGGTGATGCAGGCACACAGTGAGTACACGCCCACCTGCTTGGAGCCCCTGTCAAAAATCAGAACAGGACCCCAGAAAGTTCTAGAACCCGATTTTTTTTAAGTGGTGGAGGGAAGAGACGGGGACGTTAGTAAGGAATAAAAGCTCTAAAAATTAGCTGTTGATGGCCTCTTAGAGCTCCTCAGGTTTCCAAATGAAGACACGGGCCAAGTTCAAGGTCACACTTCCAGCTGGGGGCAGAGCCAAGACTGGACCTCAGAGCTCCCCAACCACTATCAGGGTTTTTGTAACCAGATGGGATAAAGAGGATCTAATAGAGAGGAAGAAGGAAAAGAGGGGAGAAAGGAGAACGCCCACGTAAAGACACCAGAACATGGAAATACAGAGAAAGACCACAGAACCTGGACATTTTGGTCCCCAAGACCCTCTGTGGGGCACCGAGAGGGCTGTGTTTTACTTTTATCACACAGGAATCTGCAGACTCTGCATTAGTCACGTGGGGAGGACTGAACGAAATCCTAGATAGTATAGAAAACAAAAGGGGGCGGTACCGGGGGGGTGGGGACTGAGAGGTGTGGCGGCCACATCTGTGGCCGCTGGTGCTGACCTGTGTCACCCTGGGCAGGCAGCGGCCTGACGCACAGCAGCTGTTGCGGGAATATTGACGCAACCAGTATTCACAGACCAGCAACTGTGCTCCTGACGGACGCCGTGCTCGGTGCTGGGGGTACAGCAGGGAACGAAACCGAGTCAGCCCGGGGAAGCTGGGTTCCACAGGACAGGCGGAGGACCCATAAGTCTTGGCAGACAGTGACACGGACACAGGGCACGTGGTCAGAAAGGCCCCTCCGATGACGGGGACATTTGCTGAGAAGGGGGGTTGCTGCGAGGGCTCCTGGCTCAGGGGACACCTGGATGAGGCCTGATGCAGGGGCAGGAGGAAGCCGGGGCAGGGGCGGGGGAGGGGGGGGACTGGAGCGCCAAGGGCCGGGTCCAGGGGGAGGCAGGGGCCAGATGAGGGGAAGGTGAGGAGTCAGGACTTTCTTCCTAGTGTAAGGGGTAGCCTGGGAGAGGAGGAAGCCAGAAGTGCCCCAGGTTGGGGAGAGCCCGGGAACAAAGCTGCCCCCTCTCTTGCAGTTAACCCGGTGTTTGACCCAGCGGAGGACGGCAAAGACACCAGCACCAGCGGGGCCAGGCCGTCTGTCTCAGGCACACGTCAGTCCGCACCCCACTCAGAGGCTCAGGATGCTCTCAACGTTGTGGGGCAGCGAGTGGTGGGCCATGAGCAAACCTGGTCACGGGCAGGAGGTGCCCGAGACCCTTGGGGTTGGGTAACCCCAAGGTTACCAGGGCAGATGGGCTTGGGCAGTATTCGACATTGCAGTCCTCCTCGGGAACCCACCTGGCATTGTGGGTACCCGCCCAGCTGGCTCCAGGGCCCATGTGTGAGACCCCTCCCAGGGCCCCCTGGCCAGGCTCAGGGGTGACAGGCAGGGAGGAGAGGAGTAGGCTTCTCCTCCAGTCCCTTCCCACTGCTGCCCTGGGAGGCAGGGGAATAAGGGAGGGGCACGGCCGGGACTGCACGTCCGGGACCCCGGCTCCTGGTCTACCTGGCTGAGAATCGGGTTTCAGGGTCTCACTGTCCGAAGAGCCAGCGGTGGAGCTCTGGGCCAGTGCCCACCATGCACACCCTCAGCAGGGTGCTTCCTGCCCCACGTGTGCGTAGCGCAGGTGACAGCGAGCCCACCTCACGGGGCAGCTGGCTCCGTTTTCAGACAGAGTCAGGCATTTGAAGATGTGCTGCTCTGAGGTGACCAGCCCCTCTGCTCCCACAGTGGACCCTGAGGCCCTGGTGCGGGAGGAGCAGGCCAGCACCATCTTCCAGTCTGAGCAGGGCAAGAAGAGCATCGACATCTACTGGCTCTTTGATGACGGAGGTCAGTGCCCGCCCCGGTCACCAGCTCTCCCCGGGGCCGCCTTCCCTCTGCCCTTCCTGGCCGCTCTGGACAAGGCCCCTGCAGGGACCACAGAGCCCAGCGAAGGGGACTAGGGACCTCTGGGCTTGGGGAAGCCTGGCTGGGCCCCTCGTCTTGGCTGTGAAATGGGGGACTTTGTCGGAGGAGCTGAGGTCAGCGTGGGATGGAACGTTCAGACGAGATGGGCCTTTGGGGGTCACAGGCCCCTGCCATAAACGGGGGAAGCTGTAGGAATGTTCTTCACTTCCCAAAAAATACGCTCTCTCCCACTTTTCTTTTTTTTTTTTTTTTTAAGATTTTTATTTATTTATTTATTTGAGAGAGAACACATGAGAGGGAAGAGGATCAGAGGGAGAAGCAGACTCCCCACTGAGCAGGGAGCCCGATGCGGGACTCGATCCAGGGACTCCAGGATCATGACCTGAGCCGAAGGCAGTTGCTTAACCAACTGAGCCACCCAGGCGCCCCTCTCCCACTTTTCTTAAGACACATGCCTCTCGGCTCTATTGTTGCACCCCTGATGGAGCCCAGCCTAGACAGAAAAAGCTTCTGCTCCAGGAGCACGTATCCTCTGTAGACTGAACACTTACTACGCGCTTGACACTAAGTGCAATCCCTAGGCAGGAACTATTATGAGACCCCTTTACAAAGAAGGAAACTGAGGCACAGAGCCATGAAGTAACTGGTCAATTGGTCCAGGGTTGCACAGTGGTAAGTGACAGCTGGTCTTTGGCCTCATGTGGAGAGATGACAAGGAGGGATGAGGGTTCCCACCTACTGGTCAAATCTTTAATCTTCAAAAAAAAGTGCCAGCAATCCAGATTTTTTTTTTTTTAAGATTTTATTTATTTATTTGACAGAGAGAGACACAGCGAGAGAGGGAACACAAGCAGGGGGAGTGGGAGAGGGAGAAGCAGGCTCCCCACTGAGCAGGGAGCCCGATGCGGGGCTCGATCCCAGGACCCTGGGATCATGACCTGAGCCGAAGGCAGACCCTTAACAGACTGAGCCCCCCAGGTGCCCCAGCTAGCAATCCAGATGATTTAAAAACATCATGCAGGCCACATGAACCCTAGCCCAGAGAGTCCCGTGCGCCACCTTGGTTTAGTCTAGCACCCTCATTACATAGTTGGGTAAACTGAGGTCCAAAGAGAGGAAGAGGCGTGCCAGTGGCAGATGGGGCAGGAACCCAGAGGGTGCTCTATCCTGAGAGCAGCTCCCCCTTGATTTACGGGGACTCTCCTTGCCAGGCCTCACCCTCCTCATCCCCTATCTTCTCGGCCGCAAGAAGAGATGGAGCAAATGCAGGATCCGCGTGTTCGTGGGGGGCCAGATCAACAGGATGGACCAGGAGAGAAAGGCGTAAGTGGGGAGCGCTGGTGGGGGGTCGCGCAAGACCAGCGCCATCCCAGCTCTGCCCAGGGTGCCCCCTCTTGCTCTCCCCCACCTGCGCTCCCCCCCCCCCCCAGGTGGCCTCAGCTCTCTCCAGGTCACAGCAGTGGGGAGGGAGCTCTGGGCAGGAGCAGGTTTCTGTCCATTTTGGAAATTGTTTTGCTGTCCCATGCCCCCTTTAATAAGACGCAGACGCCCTAGTTCCAGCCATGGCGGGGAGGAGTGTTACGTTTTAAAGCCACAAATCTGCTCAAGGAGAAACCTGTGTGAAGTGAAGGACGGAGAAGGCCCTTCCTGCTGAGAAATGAGGTGGGGCTGAGGATCCTTCAGGGCAACCACCCCCAAGCTTAGGATGCTGTCCCTGGTGAGACAAGAGGTGACATTATTGGCCAGGAGTTGGGGCAGCAAATCCCACTGGATTTCTTGGTGAAAAGTGACTTTTTTTTTTCAAAGATTTTATTTATTTGACAGAGAGAGACACAGCAAGAGAGGGAACACAAGCAGGCAGAGTGGGAGAGGGAGAAGCAGGCCTCTCGCTGAGCAGGGAGCCCGATGCTGGGCTCGATCCCAGGACCCTGGGATCATGACCTGAGCTGAAGGCAGACGCTTAACGACTGAGCCACCCAGGCGCCCCGAGAAGTGACTTTTGATTCTCTTCCAACCGTGCGGCTCATTCCGCAGGAGAAGGGCTCTCTGCTCGGGAACCCATGCTAGTCTGTCTCCGCCAGAGAGGACAGGCCTGGCCTAGGAGCTTGGCGGGCAACAGCAGAATTTAGTTCAACCAGCCAGAATTTAGTCACGTTTGTTTATTTACTTGGGTTTTATTGATCGCCGCTTTCTGGCAAGAGATGCTGGTTTTCTGTTGAAAATCGCCATAGGAAATTTCAAGATGTGGCTAAGGAAGAATGTGAGTTGATTTAAGCTGAAAAGGAAGTAAATGGTCAAGGCAGGTAGACAGGTGTGCCTAGAGTTGGGCAATGGCCTTGTGAGGTGGAAGGTTGTGGGATGGAAGACCACTAGAGGGGGTGGCTGGGTAGAAACAGTGAGTGGCTTGCTCAAGGTCGTGCGATGCATTAGCCAAAGAGAAGAAACTCTGCCCGGCCTCTGGTGCTCTTGGCAACAGTCCCACCCTGATGCCCCAAGGTCAGGACCCTGGGGACTGTGTCCCCATGACCCCTTCTCAGTCACCCCCCGTGTGAGTTAAAGGCGACCAGCGATCCCATCTCCTGGTCCTCACCCCTGCTGAGAACCTCTGCCCCAGAAGGCCCTTCTCAGCAGTGCCGAGGAAATCAGCGTCTGGCCTCGCTGTGATCTCCAGAAGATAAAGAAGTCAGGGAGGCCGCTTTGCCGGCTCAGCTTTCTGTTGCAGCCCCGAATGCAAACCCCGGGCTCAGCAGGTTTAGTGGAGCTCAAGGCCATGGCACCATGGGCTCACGGGTTGTCCGGCACGTGAAGGTTGTGGAATGTCCTCTGCCTCCCAGCTGTCCTTCAGCCAGGCCAAGCCCTCTGGCCTCCTTGTGACCCTGAGGCCAGGCTGGTGCTGCCTCTGGCCGGGGCCCTGCCCAGGCCTGCCACCCCCATGCTGCATACCAGCACATCTGCTCACAGCTCTGCTTTCCTAATTTCCCTCCCAAGTTCGGGGACCAGCAGCGGCTTGATGGCTGGGCCGTGGCCTGGTCCTTAAGGTTTATCCCTGGCCCCTGCACCCCACCCAGCCAGCCACTCACTGCTCCCGCCCCACCTCCTGCACCCCCATGCCCTCACTCATTTGGACTTCCCACCCCCATGCACTCAAACCCTGCCAACTTGTTCTGGGGTATCCCCATGTACTTGGCTAGAGCCAAGGCAGGTGCATTATTTAGAAGTCTCCTTGGCTGATTCCACTGTGGACACCCCCACCTCACCCCCTTTGGCCTGTCATAATCTTGCACACCATGCGCTATCCAGCTAGATTGCCACCTCCTCTGTGAAGCCTTCCCTGACTGCCACCAACCACAGACGGCGTCTCCTCCCGTTACATGCAAAGTCAGTGCCACATGACTCGCTCCTATCGGTTCTATACTTCGTTCATGGGTGTCATCTCTGTTTCTGCAGCCCACCCTGCAATTTCCTGTGGTTTACCTTCCATCCCTTAGACCCTTGCTCCTCAAAGTGTTCTCTGTGGATCAGCGGCATCGCATCACCTGGGAGCTTGTCAGAATGCAGAATCCCAGGCCCCACCCCCGACCAGATGAATCAGACTCTGTATTGTACCAAGGTCCCTGGAAGATGTATAGACATTAAAATGTAAGGTGTGCTAGTCCAGAGATGGCCACCGGGTACTTGGGGAAATACTGCTCAATCACTTTTCCTTATCGCTTTTCATCCTCTGACCTACTTTATCAATATTCATCTCTTGTCCGCCCCTGCCCAGGTGAGAACGTAAACTCCCTGAGGCCAGGGTGTGATCTGTTGTATTCACTGCTGCGACTTCTGTAGACACTCAGTACAAATTCACTGAATGGAAGAATACGCATTTAAAAAATCTCCATCTTCCAGGATCATTTCCCTGTTGAGCAAGTTCCGACTGGGATTCCACGAAGTTCATGTCCTTCCTGACATCAACCAGAAGCCGCGGGCTGAGCAGTAAGTTCTCTGTGTTGACTTACTTCCCAGGCAGAAGGGCCCGCTGTGTGCCCCGCACAGCCCTGTGTCTGGTGCGCCTCGGGCAGGGGCGCCGTTAGCCACCTGGACAGGGCTCAGGGGAGGAAGGAGGAAGGTGAGGATTTTGCAGCCCTTTATCTTCCCTGTCAGGGTTTCTTTCTTTGCATATCAGAGCTCTGGTCTTTGCCAGAAACACACCTGGGCTGGAGGACAGGGAATGTTCACATTTGTGCAAGTGTTTTCAAGCTGGTGCAAGTCTCGGCTGTTCTGCCACTCGAGGGAAGGCAGGTGTTTCATCCTCAAGGGACCCCACCCCCACCCACCCCACGGACCTGGAGGGAGGGACGGGGGGACGGCGGTCTCTGGCTTCACACTTCTCACTGCTTGCTACTCATAAATTTCTAAAGTTTCTCCAGCACCCTGAAGGGTTGTCATAAAGCAGTGGTTCTCAAGCTTCGGCCTGTGTCAGAATCACACGGAGGGCTTATGAAAACACAGCTTGCTGAGCCCCGCTCCTCCCGCCCCACCCCGCCCCAAGATTCTGCATCAGTAGGTCTGGGGTAGTGCCTGAGAACCTGCATTCCTAACAAGCTCTCAGGGGCTGGTCCCGGCACTTCATTTGGAGAACCACTGTCTTAAGGACAGTCTGTATAAAGTGCTTAACACAGTATCCAGCCCCGAGTCAGTGTTCAGTAAATGCTGGATCGATGGCTTCTGCCTCCTCATGGCTTCCGAGCTCTAGAGCTTGACCTTTTCGTGAGGTCTCGGCTCCACTACAGACTTGCTTCCTTCTCTAAGCCTTGCCTAACTGAAGTTCTTGAAAAAGGAACTGCAACTGGCCCAGCTCAGCCCTGCCCGCAGGGCCCAGGTAGAGGTCACCGCAAAGCCTCTTTCTTGGCTACCTTTGCTCCAGTTGGCCATGACCAGGGCTTGCAGAGTCACATGCCCAGAAACACATGGCTGGAGGACAGGGGCCATGACAGAGGCACGTCCCTTCCACGGGGCTGAGGGATACTGGAGCAAACAGAACCGAAGGTGCAAAGGCCCTGAGGCAGAAGCATGGCAGCCACAGCCCCTGATGTTATTTCCATGAACACACCGGTGCTGGGAGTGGGGAAAACGTTGACGGGTCTGGGCCATAACTCTCCTCCTGCCCCCATGCACCAGCAGGCTCACGGACTTTAAGCAAATCCCCATGTGAACTTGGAGCTACGCTCAATGGCGGTCCGAAGGGATGATGACTCACCTGCTCAATGATTCAATTCCCTAGTCTGAAACTAAGACATTTATAATCGGGCTTGCTTTCTGTAAATCCATGTACATGAGGTTTCCCAGCCCTCCCTCTCCTCAGTAAAGTCAGGTCCGTCCTGACCTCTTACCTCTCCCTTATATTCCCCATTGCCTGGAGAGGGCAGGACCTGGTCCGCAGTGACAGACACATCGGCTCCTACCATGTGCCAGGGCAGAGAGGAGTAAATCAGAGCCCCAGGCCGCTGGGGATTACGCCGACCCCAGTGCAGGCGGGAGGAATCCAGAGCCACGGGAGGAGCGTGGCAGAGACGCGCCAGAAAGCACGAGAGAATGCAGCTGGGCTGTTTCTGTTGGTGGAGGAGCAACGACTTAAGACATCTGGGCATCCTTCCCCGTGGGAGGAGCTCGAGAGCAGGCCCACAGACCCCATGTGGCAGCCCTGATCTTTAAAACCCCAGCCTTGGGCGCCTGGGTGGCTCAGATGGTTAAGCGTCTGCCTTCGGCTCAGGTCATGATCCCAAGGTCCTGGGATCGAGCCCCGCATCGGACTCCCTTCTCCATGGGGAGTCTGCTTCTCCCTCTGCCCCTCCCCCTGCTCGTGCTTTCTTGCTCTCTAAAATAAAATCTTTTTTTTTTTTAAAGATTTTATTTATTTATTTGAGACAGAGAGCATGAGGGGGAGGAGGGTCAGAGGGAGAAGCAGACTCCCTGCCGAGCAGGGAGCCCGATGCGGGACTCGATCCCGGGACTCCAGGATCATGACCTGAGCCGAAGGCAGTCGCTTAACCAACTGAGCCACCCAGGCGCCCTCTCTAAAATAAAATCTTAAAAAAAAGTTTTGGGGCACCTGGGTGGCTCAGTCATTAAGGGTCTGCCTTCGGCTCAGGTCACGATCCCAGGGTCCTGGGATCGAGTCCCACATCGGGCTCCCAGCTCGGCGGGGAGCCTGCTTCTCCCTCTGACCCTCTCCCCTCTCATGCTGTTTCTCTCTCGCTCGCTTTCTAAAAAATAAATAAATAAAATCTTAAAAAAAACAAAAAACAAAAAAAAAACCCAGCCTTGGCCCTTCTCTGCCTTCACTTCCGGCGCGCTCTCTCCTCCCTCGCTCAGCCAGACTTCTCCAAAGAGATCGACACTCTTTGCAGCCACTTCCTCACGGAGATGCCCCTCGCCAGTGTCAGCACGGGCCTCCGCCTCACCCACGGAACCCCTTTCTGGGCTCATCTTCCTCTGCCTCTCCGCTGCATCCCACAGTTTCCCTCTTGAGACAGTTCTTCCTTTGGCTTCGGAGGCTTCAGCCTCCACAGGATTCCTCCTACCTCAGCGACCCTTCTTTTGGTTCTGGTTGCTGGTTAGTCCTCCTTTTTCTGAGCGACACTTGCCAGCATCTTTGGGATTCGGCCCTGGACCTTTTTCTCTTGACTCTGTCCCCAGTGTGAGCTCCTCCATCCATGTGGCTGCAGGGGGCTTCATCTGAGGGCTGACCAGTCTGAATTTCTATTTTTAATCCTGTAAGTCAAGTCATACAGAACAGCCTCCAGCAGCTCCCCAGCTCACTCAGGGCAAATAGCGAAGGCCTGCGTGGTCTAGGCTCTCGCACTCGTGTGTCCTCACCTCACCCCGCTTTCCTCTGCCCTCGCCTTGCTCTAGCCATACTGGCTCCTTTGCTGCTCCTCAAAGAGACCGAAGACGCTTCTGCCTCAGGGCCTTTGCACCTTCAGCTCTGTGTGCTCCAGCACCCCCTGGCCTGTGAAGAGCTGGCTTCAGAAGGACAGCCATCCTTCAGCTTCAGGGAGGCCTTCCCTGCCCCAAATATTTCCAGTCCTGGTACTCGGTCTGTGCTTTCTTCATAAAGCTCGTGATCTAGATTTGCCTGTTTATTGCCCAGCAGATGGTGAGCTCCGTAGATAGAGGACATTGTAGGGTTTTTTGTTCAGGTGTGTAGCGCAGAGCCTGGCGCAGGATCGTTAGTGCTCAGGAACCACCCAGGGAATGGTCGGGTGGGTGGAGGTGGGTCTCAGGCCAGGCGTTGTGGACAACTTACAGAAGTTCAGTGGAATGCCAGACCCAACGGGTCAGTGCTGATTTCTACATGGAAGCCGCTTTGATGTAAACCACAGCGGCGGAATGCGTTCAACCTGAAAAGCATGTCCCTGTGGCGCCCGTCTCCGCCTCCCCTGGTTCTCCTGGAGACTGGGCTGTCTCACCTGCTCTCTCTGCCCCAAGCACCAAGCGGTTTGAGGACATGATTGCGCCCTTCCGCCTGAATGACGGCTTCAAAGACGAGGCCACTGTCACAGAGATGAGGCGGGACTGCCCCTGGAAGATCTCAGATGAGGAGATTAACAAGAACAGAGTCAAGGTACCCAAGAGAGAAGGGCCTGGCTGGGGTGGGGTGCGGGTCAAGGCGCTCCTCTGGGTCAGGGCCACGTGCTCCATCTGTCCTGAGCTTCCTTAACCCCCTCCCCTTGACCATCCCCCTCCACCATGCCCCGGCCTCTGAGCTATCCTCAAGCCACAGATGCTGGGTAAATGAGCTGTGGAACTCAGAGCCGTTCTTGGCATGAGTCACACCCCGCTGTGGCAATGGACTGGTGGAGGCTCCCCCTCTTCCCCTCTATCCCTGGTGGAAGGGCTTCACGGCACAGTTGGCGAAGGTCAAGGTAGAACTTGCACTGTGGGCCAACAAAGCTGCTTGATGGTTCCCCTTAGCCTGCGGGCGCCCCCCTACATGTAGCCCAAAATCATGGCCACCCCTGCCCAGATAGCATCTTCTAGATTCTTCAAGGCCTAAAGGAGGGTAGTGGCCGCCATGGCCACTTTAAGATGGGGTGAGCAGTTCTGCTCCCTGTGCTCCAGGTCAGTGGTCCTCCCACCCCCACTTTGCCCTCAGAGGACATTGGACGATGGGTCCGTTTGCCACTGGCGAGTGGGATTGCTACTGTCACTTAGTGAGTAGAAGCCTGGGACGCTATTGAACATCCTACAACTCACAGGACAGTTCCCACGACGAAGAATTATTCTCCCCACAATGTCACCAGTGTAGGGTCTGGAGTCTGTGATCTCAGTGAACTCACTTCCCTGACGTTTTCCATTCTCTCAAATGAGGTGTCCTCCCACAATCAGACTCTGAGTGTCAATCATGTCTGAACAATCTGGAGACAGACCTTGGGGTGGGAGGGAGTCTCCCCCACAACCCAATCTTACATAAGCTTTAGGGAATTCTGATCTGTCAGCCCTGAGACCCTGCCCCAGAGGGCTCACAGCTCCTTGGAAAATGCTGGATAAAGTGTAGTGTCCAAAGAAGGGTCTGGCCTGGCCTGTCATGGAGGGGGAGGTGGTACGTTCCGCCTCTGCTCTGAGTCTTCCTTATCAAGTGCCTTCCAAGTGCCGAGCCCTCGACATCCGCGTGTTTTTGCGTGGGTTATCTCCCTCAGTGCTGCCCACATCCCCCCATACGATAATGGGATTATCGTACCCATTTTACAGTGAAGACAGTGAAGCTCGGGGAGGCCACGTGCTTTGGTCGGGTCCTCTCTGCTGTGAGTTCTCAGGGCTGAGATGTGGACCCAGCTCACCCCACACCACGGAATGTGCTCTCTCTCCCAGCTAGCCCCACCCTCCACCCCCAGTCATGGAAATAAGGTCTGGCAAAGAAAAGCCAAGGAGGGTTTCCCAAGGAGGTGGACTTGGCACTCTGTTACCCTGAGTGTCCCCTTCCGTCTCGGAGGAAGGAGTCTGTAATACTTGAGGGGGAAGAATTCGTGCATCTGGTCTGGGCTTGTCGGGGACCACTCTTGAGGATGTGGGCAGTGACCCCGCGGCTTCTCCTTGCTCCAGTCCCTCCGGCAGGTGAGGCTGAATGAGATTCTGCAGGATTCCTCCCGGGACGCCGCCCTGGTGGTCATGTAAGTAGCCGCCGCTGGGAGGGGAAGGCCGTCCCCGAGGCCCAGGATGTCCGCTCTGGGAAGGGGCTCAGGAGGTGCGCGCCGGCTGAGGGCCTGAGCCCTCCCCTGTGAGGCAGAAGGGCCCAAAGCTCCAGGGAACGCCGCCCAGGTGGCTTGTTGGCACGTGGCTGGGCCTGCCCCCGCTCGGCTCCCCTCACCTGAGCGCCAGTTGGCAGAGGTCCAGGACCTCACCCGTCTCCGGCCTCGCCGGCTCCTCTCCCCACCGTTTGCCCTTGGTCGCCACCTTTCCCTGCCAAACTCAGCTTGGCAAAGACGACCCCGCTCATTCCAGAAGAAAAGCGTTTCCTGGTTGTTTGGGAACCACGCAGGCCTCTTTGGCCAGGGGCCACCCCCGGCTGCGGTGGGTGCCAAGCCTGGGCAACAGCAGGAACAGAAGCTCGCTGCGCCGGGCTCCGTGCCTCCCGGGCCCTCGGCTGCGGCCGCCTGTGGCCCGCTCTGAGCCCCTTCTCATGGGCAGGGGCCGAAGCCGAGGAGGTGGAAGGTGAGGGCGCGGGTGGCGGTGGCAGAGAGGGTCCCGGAGGCCCGGAGGGAGAACACGGGCAGCCCGGCCCGCTGACTCCCCTCTCCCAGAGGAAGCCTAGCTCGGAGGGAACGGGCGTACTTGGCAAGGCCTGCAACTGGCCTGGCTTTCCTGAGGGCTAGCCACCTGGGAACTCCTGAGGGTGGCCCAGAAGCCGGCAGAACCTGTTTTCTCGTGCCCCGAAACCAGGATCAAGCACACCACTGAGGGACCCCAGTGCCAAATGAAAAAGTGGGGCCCCTTCTTCAAAAATTATCAAGAATGGCAAGAAGGCAGCAGCGGAGGATGGAACCCAGCATGGGACCCTTCTAAGTGTTGGGGGTGGGGAGCATGTGACTGCACAGCTTGCACGCCCAGGAAGCCGGCTCTGCTCCCCGGGGCTCTTAGGGAGAGCATTTTTTTGGTACAAAGAAGTGCTTTGTGTTTCCTTGATGCGGGAACTGTGGTAAGAGAAAGGGCTGCATTTCTCTGCAAGCCTCTGGCCAACACCCAGCAACCTAGGGCAAGGTTGGCCTGGGTTGTGGACCGGGTCAGAATGCAAGACAGTGGCTTCATCCCAGGACGACTCCCCAGACGTTTCCTTGGGTTGGTGCCCCGGATGTGCCAAGCCACCTCTTCATGAGGGCCAGCCCCGTTCAGAGAAGCAGGTTTGTGCTTTGTCTCCGCTCACTGTGCGGCCTTGGGCAAGTAATCCTACTTCTCTGCATCTCAGTCTCCCTGATAATAGAGAAGGGTTAAACCTAATTATTTCCAAGGTTGTCCTTCACCCCAACCAGGAGGTGGAAGGTGAGGAAGAAGTAATTTCTGAGGAAGAAAAAAATCCTCCCCTGCCTCAGGAGGAAAGATAAAATTACACTTTCCAGCATTTTGAAGAGCATACTCAGACCATTTTCTAGAGCAGGTTTGGGGCAGAATTTGGTTGTTTGCTGTCTACCCAACAGCAGTTTATCTGATTAATGGCCTATGTTTGAGTTCAGCTTCACCCTCGCAGCTGATAAACCAGCCTTATAAGATAATAAACCGGCCCAACAACCTTTGCCTAGATAAGCAACCTATTTCCGGTCTCCCTTTTGGGACTCGAGTCCTCTCTTTTCCTATAAAGACACCCTCCTCAAAAGCAAATAATAATTGAAATAATAATAATCAACATCGCATTTTATTGATTGAGCCACACTGGAGGCATGGGGTCTTAGTAATTTTCAAAACTCTGTGCAGTGGTTCTGTTTTACCCCCGTCTCCCCCACAATACACACACGTTGGAAAGAGGGAAACTGAGTCTCAGAGGAGTCAGGCAACTTGCCCGGGATCCCACAGCTGTGAAGTGAGGATTCGGTTTTGAAGCCTTGGATCCAGGTTAGAGCCAAGCCTGCCTTTCTTTGTGGCCAAGAGATGCAAATCTGAACAAAAAGTTCCTCTGTTCTGGAGCGGCTCTATTTCTGAAGATCCGTGGCTGCCAGTGCATATATCCTGGGAGCAGGAGTTGGGGGTCGTTGGCTGGTGCTGGGGCAGAGTGCAAAGGGAGCCTGTCCCTCGGACGGGTGGATGGGTGGACAGGTGGACAGGCTCTGCTGGGGAAGGGGACATGACGCTGAAGCTTGAAAGGCCAGGGCAGGAGTGACAGGTGTCCCCTCGAGAATGCAGCCACCAGCCCCCTCGCAGCCTTTGAAATTTCTGAACTCAGTGCCAGAGAATGACGTAGGAGTTCCCGGAGAGTTTTGTCGATGACATAACCAAAACTTCAGCCCCACTGTGAAATCAGGAAAGTTTCGTTTTGATCTTTCCATTTCCCTTTCTCCTTAAGAGTCACCAGACACAAACATGTTCTAACTAAGGCAACGCGAGCTTCATGAAATAGCCCTGTTCCTGCGGCCTTTCCCCGTCCCGGGGACCTTGGTTTTCTTTTCTTAAAAATATTTTTATTTATTTTAGAAAGAGAGAGAGCAGGGGGAGGAGCAGGAGAGGGAGAAGCAAACTCCATGCTGAGCGTGGAGCCCGACGTGGGGCTTGATCCCATGACCCTGAGATCATGACCTGAGCCAAAACCAAGAGTGAGATGCTCAACCGACTGCGCCACCCAGGTGCCCCACCCAGGCGCCCTTGCTTTCTAAAGGAGGGTGGAGGTGGTCCCAAGGGAGGCTTCGAGGATAGAATGTTAAGCAAGGGACAGGTGTCCAGGGCCCCCTGTCAGCCTTCTCAGTGAGGGTCGCTGTGAGCAGAAGCATCTGGGGTGGGAGAATCCCACAGCTGCTCACCAGCTTGTCGCTTGCTGCTGCTAAATCGCAGTAAGTGTGACAATAGCTTTTTGCACGAGGAGGTGCTTGCCAGGTGCCGGGCACTGCGGGCGCCCTTTGTAGGCTCTGACCTCTTTGGAGCTCGCTAACAGCCTCTGAGGGAGGTGTGTGTGTCCTCACCTCAGGGAAGAGAAAACAGCGGCTCAAGGCAGCGAGCCACCTGCCAAAGCCACGTGAGCCACATGGCCAAGGAGGGGCAACGCTGCTCCCAAGCTGCCCTGCGCCCAGAGCCCCGGCCCTGCAGCCAGAGTCGCTCAGCGCCTTCCTTTCTGCCCGGTGGCCTCGGCCGGGAAGAAGGCCAGCGCTGCAGGGCCTGCCCCGTCCCCCAGGGTTGTGTTCAAGTTCAGATGCAACAGTGGCCGGGGATGTCCTGTAGGAAAACAGACTGCAAAGGGCAGCCCCAACTTCACGTCCTGCCCGCCGGGCCTGGGACGTACCGCCTTCTCCTGGAGTCAAGAGCAGGTCAGCTGCGGTCATCCTGAAGCATTTTTGGAATCCCAAGATGGTGAGAAAGTCACCTCCTGAAACAGCCGTGATGATATGGCTCAATGATGGCCCCAGGGCACCTCATTATCTGCATGACTTTGCCGTGTGGACAAGGGGCCCTCAGGGCAAGGGTGGAGTACTGGTCCCAGGGCCTCGCATACATGGTAGAAGGCAGGACAGGGACACTTAGCTGAAACGTGTGAGCAGATCACATCGTCGTGATTCGAGCAGCCCGAGGGGGAGAGACCCCCCCCACTGTATCAGACTGCATGCTAGACGCAGGGAAAGGATAATGAGCGAGACAGACCTAGCCTGAACATAAAGTCGACTGGGGGAGACAGACAAAAAACAAACAAATGAAAAGAGGGTTTGGAGAGTGGGAAGCACTGTGAGGACAATGAAACAGGGTGCTATGATAAAGAGAGACAGCAAGCTTGTTCTGGAAGGGGGTGATCCTAGAAGGAGGTGCAGGTGAACCAAGGCCTGGGTGATCTGAAGGAGCCAACCAGGTGGAAGGTGGGAGGCACTACATTTTGGGTGGGGAGAGCTTCACATGGAAAGGCCCTGGGGCAGGAGCAGCTTGCCATTTTTTTTCAGGAATGGAAGAAAGCCATTATGGCTGTAGGGTTGTAAGCGAGGCCGAGGGTAGAAGGAGGTGAGGTTGTGGATGTTGGTGGAGACCAGATCATGTGAGTCTTACAGGCCGTGGCTCTGTTTACACCAGCTTTGTGGCTGAAGGTACACTTGGAGTCAAACTTTTAAGAAGAGCGGTAGGTCATTCTTAGGGTAGCTAGGAAGAAGGAGCGCTAAAGGAGCCAGTAAACAGAGTTTCTGATCAGAAAGCGAATCACAGGCTGGGCTGTGTGGGGAAGGGCTCCTGCTAAGTGTTTATCTGCTGCTTCTTCCTGCTTGCAGTACCTTGCCTATAGGGAGAAAGGGGAAGTGTCCGAGCTCGCTGTACATGGCCTGGTTGGAGACGCTGTCCCAGGACCTCCGACCTCCGGTCATCCTGATCCGAGGGAACCAGGAGAACGTGCTCACCTTTTACTGCCAGTAACTCCAGGCTGGGCCATGCCTGCCCACAGCTGAGGGCGCCCGGGACATCCGCCTGTCCGTGGGACAGACTCTCATGTCCTGTTGTACTTTAAGCATCTGATGATCCGACTGAAGAAGCTGGTAGATTTCCAAACTTTGGCTGGTCCCCACTCCCCTGGGACAGTCCTCTGGGCTTTGCTTTTATGGGCCAGAGAAGTAGCAGATGAAGTTGTGTGGAAACTTCTCTGGTGAATCCATTTTCCTTTTAAGTTTTCTTTTGATCTCGATTACAATGAATTAAGATTTCAGTCTTTGATTTTTTTTTTAAAGATGTTATTTATTTATTTGAGAGAGAAAGAGAGAGAGAGCACAGGAGCAGGGGGAAGGGCAGAGGGAGAGGGAGAAGCAGACTTCCCGCTGAGCGGGGAGCCTGATGATGATGATGATGATGATGGGCTCGATCCCAGGACCCCGGGATTATGACCTGAGCTGAAGGCAGATGCTTAACCCACTGAGCCGCCCAGGCAACCCCAGTCTTTGATTTATATGCAAATTTGAGTCAGAGTGCTGAGTGTGAATGTGGCAGTTTCTAGGCCACCAGTCAGGAGGATGGGCGTCCTCCTGCAGCCCTTAGAAGGGTCCTTTGAGCCTCCATGATGCAAATTTCTTTAACTGCTTCTCACTCTCTTCACTTTGAATAATGTGTCTTCAGCCTTAGGGTTGGTTCTTTGGTAGATAAGGGACTTTTAAACCAGTTTAGGCTGCAACCCACAGTAAGAAATATCTTTTATGTTGAGACTTGAAACAAACACACACTGAAACTATAAATGAAACAATACTTACTCTTACCATGGGTGATGCACTCCAATATATTCTATTGTATTTCTTTTTCTCTTTTTAATGTGGGTTGCAATCCACGAATGGGTGGTGACCCGGGATTTGCAGAAAGGCCGTGTTGGGCATCACTGCCATTTCCCCAGCATACCCCCCAGAGAAGGAAAGGGAATGAACAGAACACATGAGGAGGGGTACTGATGGTGGGCATCAGTCGAGAAAGAGCTTCAAAGGAGGGAGGGGCAAGATTCAGGGTGTCTCATGGAAGGGTGTTGACTTTCAGGTTTGGTTGAGGATGGAGGGTGGAGGTTTGGTTAGGGATTCAGGTTTGGTGGGTCAGGAATGGAGAAGCAGAGAAGAGGCATAAAGATGGCCAGATTGGCAAGGGATCAGAAAGGTCCACACTCCTCCTAAGTCAGGGAACGAGAACAGGGGAGGAGGAAGCAGCAAGAGATGGAGGCAGAGAGGGCTGCAGTGGGGGGTGGGTGTAAGATGGGGGTCACAGATGAGAAGGAACCTGGGGAAGATGAGCGTGGCTCAGGTAAGGGTGTTTTGATACCCCCAGAGTGTTTGCACCAACCAAGCTAGGACACAAGAGCAGAATGTACATTAAGAGAAGTCCAGTGTCGGTGGGCGAGGCTCCCTGGAAAGGCATTTCAGCTCTAGACGCACCCCAGCAGCTTACAAGTGGGTTGTTGGGGGGCTACGACTGGCCAGGCCTTCCTGCAATAGCCACTTTCTTCAGGGTGGACGAAGGAACGAGGCATCTTTGGATCTGGTAGGCTCCCTCCAAGCCCACTGAAGTGTCCACTTCATCATGAAGGCAGAAATCTCTTTCTTAGCGTCAGGACCCGCAGGACTTCAGGGTCTCGCAGGTACTCTTGCTGCAGAGACCAAAGGCTCTGGGCTCCCAGGCTGTTACAGGCCCCACAGTTGTTTCATGGTATCAGGACTTACTTGCTGAGAGTGACCAGGTGCCTGGCCGAGCTTACCAGGGATGGCTTCTTTGCTCCTGACAGACGGGAGGGGGGTCCTGCCTCTGAGCCATTCCACAGACCTGGGACCAACCCCCACCTCCAGATAGGCGAAGCCTCGCTCAGGGATTGCTTACCTTTCTAGAGCCACATAGAAAACTATTCCCTGAAAAAATAGTTCACAAATAGACTGGGGAGACCCTGATCCAAGGTTAGAGAAGGCTCTGGCTTAGGGCATTAAAACAAACCAACAAACAAAAAGACTAATTTTTACTCTCTTAGAAACTGCATTTTGAACAATAACAGCTTTGTTTTTTGTTTTAAAAAGCCTTGAGTTAACAGTAAGGTCAAAAACAATGAAATGAATAAAAAATATGTTACTCAGTCAACAGATTTTATTTGTTTTGGAATACACTGTTTCTCAACTCTGCTGAGTGTTTTGAAAAAATTAACTGTATTGTTTTCTCAACCCTGGATTGAACTTTTCCCTGAACTTCCACTGGTCCTTTAGATCATATTGGCAGATTTCCATGTGAACATCTACAGGAGCCATTTATATTCCCTTTGCTTCTCTTGCCTGTGTTTGCAGACGCACAGGGAACTCATTTTCTTCTGTCTTGATAAAAGCCTCCAAGTATTCTCAATCTTGCCTCAACCCGAGAGGTGGAGGGGTTAAATGGAAAGAGTCACGGCCTGGCTACCAAGAGGCTTGGACTTGAGTCTCCATCTCCCCCCAAAACTGGCTGTGCAACCTCAGATACCTCTTAACCCCTCTGGGCCTCCGTCTGTGACAGGAGAGAGCTGGACCAGAACAGGTGTCCCCAGCCAGCTGGCCTGCTGATGACTATGGTTTGGCCCACACATGTTGGATCAAAGTCATGGGTTGCTGGGGGTAGATTGGAGAACACATTCTTCAGCCACGCCTCACCCTCAGCCATTACTTCCTACTGCCCTGCCTTGGGATGGGCTGGGGTGGGGGCCCCTTGAAAGCCCTCCGATTCATTGTTCGGCCCATAGAGCAGCAGAATGATAACAGATTTCAGTTCCCAGTGTATCTCTCTCTCTCTCTCTCTCTCTGCCTCTGGGTGCTAAGATCCTCCACCTTCATGAGTTTCAGCAGTGGGAAATGTTTCCCATATAGTCTTCCCTTGCATTGTGCATGGAATGGGGCCCAGCAGCAGCCAGCAGCCATGCTGGCCACCCCTCAGCAGGGGCACCTCACCCCTGTCCCCTGGGAGCCACTGTCCAGTCAGCTCTCAATTTTCTCCTCAGCGTCTCAGCTTCCACATTTCACATCCTCCTTCGGTTCCTGCCCAGACTTGTGGTGGCTCTGAAGTAGGCACTGTATGGCCCATTTTTCACCCAATGGGCTTGCTGAGTTCTACCCCCCAGGCAGAAAGCTGTGGGCCTCATGAGTACATGGAGAGTTCCCATTTGGACTGGATTCCCTTTTACACACCTGCCTGGCCTCTCTTGTGTGGTGAGGGAGAGGTGAGTTTTACAGGGATGAAGCTAGCTGGAGTGTTCTAGAAGAACCACCTGGCTGGAAGGCCCCCAAGCACATGCAAAGCAGCCAGGTTTCGCTTGTAGCTATGTTTAGCTCAGGAAGTCACAAAAAATGCTGCTAAATTCAAAAGTGTTCACAGAAGCGGGACCCAGGAAGGCCCAGCCACTGCTGCATTGGTAATTCTCTGTTTGAAGTGAGGGTCAATCTTATGATTGAAGGCATAAGCATCATATAAGTGCCGCTTCCTAAAATGGAACCAAAACAAATTCAGTTTCTAAAAATGCCATGTGGGTAGAGCCTTGTGAAGAACCACCTGGCTGAGAGGACAGACAGCAGAATGTCATACAGATAGACAGTGTCAAGAGAGAACAGTGGTTTTTGTCCCAGCTTATAAGAGAGTTACAGATAAAAGGCTCTAAGGATGTGAAAGAGGGAGCAAACACGGGAGATCAAGGGAATTAGGCTAGTCTCTCTAGAGAAAATGGCATTTAGAATAGGTGTGGATGATTGGTAGGATTCTACAGACAGAAAGGAGGGCTGGGGTTGGGTCCTCCCAGGGAGCAGGAGTAGTTCGAGCAACGACCCGAATAAGGAGAGCCCTTGTTTGGAGAACAAGAAATAAGCCAGTTTTCCTGGAGTATGAGGGCTGTGGATGTGGAAAAATAAGATCAGGAAAGTCATAATGTAGAAGGCCCCCATGCTGAGGCTGAGGAGCTCATAACTGACTCAGAGGCACTAGGGAGCCACTGAAGGTGAAGGGGCAGATCTGAGCTTTAGGAAGCTTAGCTGGTCAAGAGATGGAAGAGGCTGGAAGAGAAAAGGCAGGGCACCCAGGGAGGAGTATGTGCAGACTGCAAAGGCAAGTCAGCAAGGCCCAACACTCTAGGAGTGGCTGAGGGCACGGAAAAGAGGGAGGAGATGGAAGAAAGGATGTATAAATGGTACCTTCCAGAACTAGGAATTTCCCGGATGTATGTGTGGGTAGAAATAGGGCCCCAAAAGTTGAGCCTGGGCAGCTGTAAGATGGGGAAACCATGTACTATGGAGGGCAAGGTAACAGGCTTTCTGCTGGAAGGAGAGAGAGTAAGTGGGTTTGGTTTTGGATACTTGATGGGTGAACACATCCCAGTGGGCAGAATTGTGGTCCTAGAGCTCAGAGAGCTCAGGGTGTCCACTGTTAGCTGGGTGCTCTTTGAGAACAGAGACCATAAATAAATTTGGGAGTCATACTCATGAACAAGAATATTGAAGACAAAGTTTTGTTTTTTTTCTTTAAAGATTTTATTTACTTATTTGAGAGAGAGAGCACGAGAGGGAAGAGGGAAGAGGGCAGAGGGGGAAGCAGACCCCCCGCTGAGCAGGGAGCCCGATGTGGGACTCGATCCCAGGACTCCAGGATCATGACCTGAGCTGAAGGCAGTCGCTTAACCAACTGAGCCACCCAGGCGCCCATTGAAGACAAAGTTTGAGTGAGATCACCAAGAGAGAAAGTACAGAGAGTGGAGAGGGTTGCAGGCTAGACCTTGGGATGGGCTATATTTAGGGGGCAGGAAGAAGGAGGGGCAGCCAGCAAAGCAGCCTAAGAACCAGCATTGATGGGGCAGGAGGAAAACCCGGGTAACCAAGCTCTCAGAAGACACCAGAGAAAGGGTCGAAGAAGCAGAGGGGACCCTCAGGGCAGCTGTCTGCAGAGGGGCTGAAGCTGCTAAGAATGCTGTTGAATTTGGGTCCTGAACATCACTGGAGCTTTGCAGAGAATAATTTGGTAAAGTGGTGAGTCAGGGACCAGGGATTGAGGAATAATTTGTAGAGAGAAAAGGAAAGCAGCAGACATGCATATAGATCTTACACGTGAGGTCTCTCCCCAGCAATGGAGAGAAACATAAGGAAAATAAGGTGGGAAAAAATGAGTTGGAAACGTGAAGGAGAAGTAGATTCCAGGGAAGGTGTTCTAATTATTATTATCTTAGGGTGTGTATCAGCCCGT